TTGAATTCGGAATTCTTTATTGTAGGGTCCATAATAAAACTTCGAGATATTCCTTGCTTATATTCGTATATTCAGTACTTTTATAATCATCAGTGAGTTACATAATTTATAATCATAATTTTCAGTTTTTTCAGCTTCAGTTTTCTCGTTTTTCAGTTTCAATTATTTCGTAGTGACCCACAGGGTGGTACCGACATCTCTGTGCAAAAGCGTGGGAAAACAAATGAATATCCGCGCCTTTTTTTTTAAACACATTCCTATCGGCCAAGGTCACATAAGTAAATGAATGCCTTATACATAAATCATTACAAATTAATCAAATATATAATTTTCTATTAAAACACTCAATATAAAAAATGCAACCTTACAGTATGTATATAATAACTTAGTTACTATATATACTTATATATATATAACAAAGAGTATGTGTATATATCCTCCTGTTTTATTTATTTATGTTAACATATTATTATCTGTATAATTTATATTCTCTATATTATTATAGATAAATGGCCCAATTAATATGAAAATCACAATGTATACGTTATAGAAACATTGTCAATTACAGTAACGATTTTGATATTCAGTACTCAATACGCATTCATCACAATATCTAATGATGTACAGACTAATAACACATTAATCTACCTAAAAGCTACATTATACTGTATATACTATATTCATATAATTTCAACTATCTCTTATTAACATTGTTTCAATGCTTTTTCATAGATGTGTCGATACGGGTGACCTATATGCCAGTGGTTTACAGCCGCATTTGTGGTTTCAGAAAATTACTATAATAAATTCGGATGTTGAGTATTGAATCAAATAGCGAAAATTTCTACAGTATTTGCAATTTTACAAGCTTCGAACGTCGTGTTTGTTTTGCATGCAAACTGTACATGACCTGCATCTAAAATAATATAAATCGAAGGTTTCCACTAGAGTTACAGCGATATGTTTAAGGGTCACTCCCGATTTCACTGTTTGTGCTGTATTTTCTATGTTTAAAAATCACAATCGATTTTTTTACTTACTGTCAAACTTATGATTTCGATGAATTATACAAGGGTGAGTCCCATTGAGATATGATGGTCGCCGTTTTTTAGACTCTTTAGTATTTTCAAAATAACACTATATAATTTATTTTTTAATGAGTCAAATGAATCGAAAATCTAAGAAATTATTAAAATTCTCTTATAAAGCTAAGCAACACAACACACACAAGTCACAACATCACACATCACATAACATCTAAGCACATGTTGAAATAAATGTAACACGAATAAAGAAATACCCATTTTCAGGTAAAATTAAATGACGGTTCCGTGTAATTACACGTGTTGGTACATAGCCTTCAAAATAACTTTTTTGTAGCTGTTTCAACAACTTTGAGTAAAAAGCTAGTAAAGTTTATTCGTACGACGAGTTAGCAAGTCGCGCATACCTTTTTTGTGACAAGAATCCTTAATGTAACTCAAAAAGAAAGTTAAACAACTTCAGCTATTTGCCAGTTGCTTAGTGAAATTAACTATTAGTTCGAATAAAATATAGGTAATCTATTATTACATGAATTATGTATTTGAGTCATTATAATTTAATTCATTCTGGGGGAGGGGATTTGCAATAATCTCCACGCTTGGCAGGCGGGTTGGCGATGGCAGTTACTTGTGCGAGTACTCGGAAAATTCTGCTACCCATCTTCTGGTATTTATGCCTTAGTCGCCTTTTACAACACCTTCTGCTAGAAAGGGGGTGTTGCTATTCTATGCCGGAAAACACGCGGCGAGGTCAATCGACGGATCAAACTCGGATGGGCATCCTTCGGGAAACTACGCAACACCTTCTCGTCTCAAATACTGCAGTGTCTCAAGAAAAAGTCTTCAACCAGTGTGTGTTGCCAATGATGATATACGGCACCGAGACGTGACCAATCACGATGGGCCTGATAAGAAAACTCAAGGTCATACAGAGAGCAATGGAAAGGACTATGCTCGGGATTTCTCTGAGAGATCGAATTAGGAATGAGAAACGCAGAAGGACCAAGATCACCAACATAGGCCGCTGAATATCCAAGCTTAAATGGCAGTGGGCAAAGCACATCGCTTGCAGAATGGACAGTCGTTGGGAACGAAAAGTTCACGAGTGGCGGCCACGTACCGGAAGATGAAGCGTGAGTAGGCCTCCCACAAGGTGGATCGGCGACTTGGTCAAAGTCGCTGAAGCTCACGGGATGCGGATGGCACAAAACCTGTTGTCGTGGAAATCTTTGGGGGAAGCCTATATCCAGCAGTGCAAATGTTTGGGCTGAAACGACGACGAAGACGAATTTAATTCATATTAGTTAACGGCAGTTTTGCTCAAGTTTGAATTAAGGCACATTGTTAGGGTTTCACATATTGGTTAAAAATAAATTTCTTATAGGATCACTCACAAATTTATCTGTCACAGCCTCTTTTCTTCAAATAAATAGACTTAAGTGACCTATTATCTAACATTTTGAGGTGAAGAAATTTATATCAAACTAGCGACTCAACCTCGCTCCGCTCGGTTTCGTCCTTAGGTTCCTCGTCCTTACGTTTTAACGTTTTGTATGGATTTCTCAAAGATGAGATATTTTCCCGCAGTAAAAAGTATCGTATATGTTGACCCGGGTAACAAATATTGTAAAAACTATAGATTGGGCCTCTGTATAGATAATAAAGACTATTTCAATGAGATTTAAAAAAAAATGTACAGGTTCGACTCAGTATACTGAGATACATACATATATCTCAGTAATAGAATTTTCTATATATAAAATATATATTCAAATTCTGATGAAATTCACTTAAGCCAAAAAATACGACAGTAAACTTTATGATTACAATTTGTACGTTGTTAATTTTAGAATGTTTACAAATCGGATAATGATTAACCCTACACATTGTAGAGTACTTAAAGTCACTCACATGGAACCGTGGAAGGTTTTCTCAATTTCCTCTTAATTATAACTCAAGCTCATTTTTAATTTATTTACCTCCTGTTTCATGGTGGCGCGAGAATTCATACAATTTAATAAATAATCAATTATCTCAGTATGATTTAATCCCAAACGAACACGGCATATTTTATAAAATAAAAATGTATTGTTTCATCTCCTTAATAGGATTGTCGTGACTCGTGGACACTTAAATCATATTGTATTGGATTTTATAAAATCAAATTGTCGACAATCCTCTTGTGTCTATAATTGGCGACAGTTCACTTAAATATTAATTTGTAATACTTTTAAGATAAATAACGACTTAGTTATGTCCTTTTTAACACGTTTTTATTTCCTTCATTTGTAAAAGTAACTTGTTATGAAATCTTGAAAGATTTTGTACATACATATTATGTATTTTTAAATGTCGTGTCGATTTGTAAATATGTAAAATATGAATAACAATTCAAAACTGTTATACCATTGAACTTATCTGGTTATGGAGTCAGAAGGTGGTTAATAGAAAAAAATACTAGAAAAACCTTAGAGCTTAGGTCAATTGATTCGGTTTGAGGATTTTTTCATACATTTTGAGATAGCTTTAGAGTGAAATATAGATAGATTTAGAGTGTTTTCAATAAATATAATAAGTATTATAGGTCGTAAAATAAAATATTTGAACTTAATAAGATAATGAACCTACAACCAGTGCTTATTTAGGCGTCCCTATTTTGGAGAATGATTAAATATGCAAAGTAATACTCTATAGACGAAAGTAAACATTTATTGATAGATAATGGGGTTTTACAGTGATGATCCTAATAGCCTGTATTATTATGTATACAGGGTGTGTCTGCTAACCCAATTTACACAAAACGACCGAATAAACACACGTAGATTGTCCGCTTTAGGGTGATTTATAGCGAGATCGTAAAATGCAGTACTCTGTGTGAAAACGCCCAAATTGAATGAAGTAGGTAGGTAGGTATACAACTCAACCTTTGAATTTACTCACAGTTTTATTTGTTCACATATTGTTTCCGAACTATAGAGTACTCGAGAGTAATGTTATACGACTAGGGATAGTAATAAATTTTCCACTTCATAGGTAGGTACTTTATTTGTTCGAGGAATATGAACTATAGGTATATAAAAATGTAACTGGCCCTATACTATTATTATTTTTGTAATAAAAGTCTCGACTAATGTTTGAAAAATATAGCATTTTAATAGAACAATTTTATTTTTAAATATCAAATAAATATTAGTAATACAAATACAAAAGAGATATTCACTTACATGAACAAAGCCCGGTATACTCTATAAAATATAACAGTATCGGAAAGTGTATTCTTTCGGTTATGGGTTAAAATGGCTTACAAAAGTGCTATAAGCGTGTTAATGTTAAGTATATAAAATGTTCTTTCGCGCACCCAGGGAACGATCCTGTGTATCTTAATAAGAAAATAACATTTTACGATCCATATATATATATATATATATATATATATGTGTGTGTGTGTGTGTGTGTGTGTGTGTGTGTGTGTGTGTGTGTGTGTGTGTGTGTGTGTGTGTGTGTGTGTGTGTGTGTGTGTGTGTGTGTGTGTGTGTGTGTGTGTGTGTGTAGTAAAAATGTTTACATTTAAAATAAAAATATGTACATACTAATAAAATATTAAATTGTCACAATAAGTACCTACCTATTTTCTAAAGTAAAGTAAGATGTATCATATCGCTTTCCACTTCTGCCGAAAAACAGGCTGATTGTGCACAATTTATTCTTAGATATGTCGTGCAATGAATTATATTTATCTTACTGCTTTTTTAGTAATGTTTGAATTTCTTCAAAGAAAACCCAGTAACTAAATTTGACCCGACCCGGGGCTCGAACCCAGGGCCTCCGAATCTGCGGCCCTACATATTAGCCACTAGACTATATTAGTTTTGCATTGATGGGAGGCCGATGTCTAGCAGTGGCAGTAAAAAGGGCAAAATTATTATTTATTTAATTTTTGTATTATTGTACGTTTAGCTATTTGGCGGCCCGGGGCGCCATCTCCTTCGGGGGGCGAAGCGCCGAGTGCGGAGAGCCCTAGCGCGCCGCCGCCGCCCCCACCCCCCGTGTGGACCCCGAGCAGTAACACTACATCCCCGCAAACACCAAGAAAAGCCTACCGGCCTGTACACTTCGAAGATACTCCACCACCTCGACGCAAGTTTGGGGTTAGTTCTATTGACATTTTAGTACAAAATTACGCCTTTTTAAATATTTATCATAATTATTTACTTATTCGTCTACAATAAAACAGCTAACTTTGCAAGTTAAGTCTATATATATTCGTTGCATTGATAAAGCAAAGTAACTTTACAGCTGATTGTCTATCTGCTATCGCCAAGACGAGCAAAGCGAAGCACAAGGGCACTAAATAGCTTTTCTCGAAGCACTTCGTCGTTTTTTTGAACCCTCATAACTTACGTTTGGATTATACCAGATAAATAAAATTCTTGGAATATGTTGTGAATAGTGGACTTATTAAAATATAAAGTTTCAATTGCATAGCTCGTATATTTTATATTTTATTGATATCTAAAAAACTCAGATTTCTTCACTGACTCACTGATGATCATCAAAATTCTTAGGGTATTCCTGAAGTCCTAGAAAGCTAAAATTTGGCATTTCATAGAAAGCTAGTATTAGTACATAAACAACAAAAAAATCTAGAACTTGGAACCTTTACGCCCAACCCCTTAAACTAGGGGATGGGAATTTGTATAAGACTTCTGCAAATTTTGATGCTCGAGGTTTGAAAATTGATATAGGGACTCCTTGCTATAAATAATAAAATACATATTTCAGGATTTTTAGTAAATCACCCTCACCCTTTAAAATAAAAAAAAATATATTTTCATAAGCAACTTACAGAAAGAAGTGAAATCCCACCAAAAACATTTTCATGTAAAATGTTGCCAAGACTCGTTACTACAAGAACTATTGTATAACAGAAAAGTAATGCACATTGCATAGTGAATAAATTTTTCACCTTACGCCCATGTAATGGTAACGAAACAGCCAAGCTACATATTTTGAATTTTGAAAGGTGTAGAGTTTATGAAGTTAGGACTGGTAGACTTAGAGCGTGTAAAGTTAGAAACTTGGCTCTATATGAGACCTGATAACTTTTTGATACTGCGAGCCATATGGTCTCGTCTTGGCAACATTTTACATGAAAATGTTTTTGGTGGGATGTTTTATTTGCCTATAGGCTGGGATGTAATTTAATGTGTGTAAAATGAAAATAATTATCCTTTATCTTCTATATTTACGTATGAATTACACTAAACACGAAGATGATTCGTAGATTTTTATTTAATTTATACAATTTTAATTACTACATTTAAAGAATAGTAGGAAAATATAATTTGAATAAACACTATACCAAAAAAAAATTATTACGAAATTTTCCTTATCAAGTACTATAAGAAAGAAAGAACTGAAATTGCTAGTAATAACAATAATTATTTTACTTGCAGAAACACATTTAAATATTTGAAACTATATGCTAATTGATACCGAGTCATGATCTTAGCAAGCTTATAGTAAACAAGCTTAATGCTGTTTAATGCTGCAAAAACTACTGTCAGGATTATGCACTTGGTTATGTTAATAAGAATTTTAATCATATTACAAATATGAAAACTAAATAAAGGACAGACAGGACTTCTATTTACATATTTTAAAAGGAATTACTCGAATTTAGTTTGTTGGAACCCTGATTACGTATTAAATATCTAACTCAATAAAAAAACCATAGTCTATGTTAAAAGAGGTTAAGGTTTTTAATTATCGTTTTATTCACGCAACCCCTAATTATGTAGGCACAATTCTCCGAGCTTCTCTGTAAATTTCATGGCTCTACAATAGACTCCGGTATTTAACGCCTTATAGCAATTTTCATTAAAGAAGATCACAGAAGGGTGTTTTAAATTTTCAGAATTCAGATCAAAACGGATGTACAAGTGGTTCAGAAAACGAGGGAAGGCTTCGAACATCGCAAAGTGCGCCAGCTACGGGACTTAATACATTGGGCTCGACCAGTCGCTTGCCAAGAGCACAAAACCCTACAGTAACTTTATTGCAGAAAGCACGCGGTATGTACTCTCAGATTCTAGATATGTAATTAAATACTTTAAAAAAATACGATATCGTAGGTAATCTTTAAATAGGTTCGATATAGTAAATAAATAAGAATTTTAAACACTGTTAAAAAATCTTTTTTTTTTAATAAAGGTAACTTAAAGAATAAAGTAGAAATGGAAGGATAAAATAATATCATAAGTAATTATTTATATATATTTTATTCTAACTGGGGTGTTAATGTGACTCAGTATTATTATAATTTAGTGACGATCGTATGAAACATCGTCTCACGTCGCGTATAAATTATTATTGGTAAAGGAGTAACATGTTTTTATATGATATAGGTACCACAATTATAATAATATTTCGTGGTTTCATTTTCGATACAAATTAACAGGTAGTCCTTTGACCTACAAGGCAACACTCGCACGCTTTAAGAATTTTATATTTATTTATTTAGTATCGATTATTTTTAACTCGATTAAAAATCAATTATTCTACCTCCCCACTAGCCATACTACGTAGCCATGACAGTTCATTCTTTTTCCGTGCGAGGCAACGAGCGCACGCGCTCCTAGCTACAAGTTGTTAAGAAAGTAAAATTATTTTGATTTTTCAAAGTTCACTATGCCTAAAAGATCGTTCGAAGAGAAGATGGAGTATTATTTTCAAAAAATGAAAAAATTGATAGATAAACATCGACGTAAACGTCGGCGTTTAAATTCGTTCTAATCTTCAGATGAAGAAAAAATAGATAATGTTCATGGTGCGTGGTGTATCCAAAATTATATTTTCGCGACAGAATCGTACAAATACTGTTCAAATTGAAAGTACCTTTTGTTACGATGATTTGCCATAGATTCTAATTAGAACACGGCAAAATTATTAACCTACCCGCCATACATTCAAAAATGAACAAGGCGTTACTATTCATGTTTTTATGCAGGTTATAGATTCAAGTTATGAACTATTCCTGTTTATCGTCATTTTATTTTTGACTTACATAACTTATTGGTCGTTATCGTTGACCTCTAGAAGGCGAAACTTCGAAACGCAATACATAAAATGATTAACCACTGCCACCACCACCAGCACCGGCACCGGCTGCGGCGCCGTTAGAGACCGCGACATGTCCACCTCTTGACCCCGAAATTCTATCCGCCCTCGGTGAGGCCACTGATTCGGGACCAACGTGGGGTCAAGAGATACATAATAATTTGACCCAGCTCTGGCTCCCATTGTTAAAAACAGGTATGGACAAGGAAGTTAGGGAAAAGGTATTAAAACAATACCTTATTCCCAGCAATTGCACTTTGTTGCAAGCCCCAAAGCTCAACATTGAGATATCGGCGGCAGTTATAAAAATGGTCAGATTGCGTGACAAAAAGGTCGAGGTTATGCAACAACAATTTGGCGCAGGGATCACCGCTATCAGCCGGGCTATGTCGACATTGTTGACAACCAACAATAAAATAGATGCGAATAAAATGCTCAGCGACGGTTGTCGCATTTTATGTGATTTGCATCATGAAACCCAGGCTAGGATCAAAATGATCACACCAGGACTAGCAAATCAAAAAGACAGTGCCTCCACTGAGGTCTAATTCAGTTGCTCCCAGCACAAGTGCGGCCCGTCAACCATTTCAGGGAAACTGGACCGGGCCTCCTCGATACTCGACAAACAGGGAGGGGCGAGGGGGCTACAGGAAGTTACCCACATCGTCAAGGCGACCAGCAATAACCCCGTTGGCGCAACCACGTTATAACATTATATATATATATTATAAAGAATAGATAAAACATTTTTTTTATTCAGCTTTCACAATAATAATACACATTCGTCATTTTTCGATCTTAAAAATCCCTTAAAAGTCGATTCAACTAGTTTGGACACTTTTGAAATGTTTTTGTTACGTGCAAATCCACCCAGCAGAGTGGAGCGAGGGTGAGTCGCTAGTAACCCTATACTAGCCTAACTTTAAAATTATAAATAATTAATAAAATTTTAGTTATTATTGGTACAAAGTCACGTGCTCCACCACGTCCTTAATACAGGTACATGCGGGTCGCATTTAATTTTTTATAATTGTTGACTCAACATTACAGATAATGTTAATATTCTTAACTGGGTTCTAAATGGAGTACCTATTCCGTTTATAACCAAGCCGTATCAATCAAATGTACCGGGACTATCATGGTCATCAAAAGAACAAACAGCATGAAATGTACATGGCTATCGATAATTTACTTAAACTATGTAGGTGTCTTTTCAAAATGTGAAGATCAGTTTCTTTCAAGTATGTTTTTAGCCCCTAAGCCTAATGGTACTAAAAGGTTTATTTTGAATCTAAAATTATTAAAGGAATTATACTTATACCTATCGATATATAATCTTGAAAATACCTTCAATTTCAGTATATCGCACCAAATTCAAAAGAAACTATAACGTACGAGTTTAGTGTTTTATGTTACGGACTAGGGATAGCACCTAGGTGTTTTACTAAGATAGTGAGAGAAGTCGACGCACACTTATGTAGTCGGGGTCACAAATCAATTTGCTATCTTGACGACATTTGTTGCTTAGCTAAGAGCTATGATAAATGCCTTCGTAATGTTCAAGCGACGAAGCATTGTATGAGTGTTTAGGTTTCGTAATAAATTACGATAAAAGTCAATTACAGCCACAGCAAGTGTGCAAATTTTTAGGATTTATATTCATATACCACTCAAATGACCTTTAAGTTACCTTTATATAAACGTAATAAGATAGCCTGTACGGTTCAAATATTTGCTAAATTACCCATTGTCATCATTTGTGAGTTTTCATAAATAATAGGCGTCTTTGTATCAGCTTGCCCAGCAGCATGCTAGGGTTGGCTGTTACAAAAATATTAGGATGACAAAAATACATATTGTTAAAACAACATGGTACATTTGAAGTTAAACGTAAAACTATTTTTTCGGATTTTTTCGCGAGCTTATTTTGATTTTTGATTCCCGACGTTTTGAATGCTGTACAACAATCATGGTCACGGGAGAGACTTAAGATATCTCAAAGGCATTATATAGTTTTTACAGGCAGCCTACCCATAAATTAACAAAAATGAATTCAAAAAATTCAAAATTGGCATTGTTCCTTACAATATTTGTTAATCTTAATTTAAACATTTTTAAAATATTAATGAGTTTTATAGTTAAGTATGGAATATTATTTATTTCATTTTGGCTATTATAATTATAATTATTAAATTATTATTTTTTAGAAAATTTAAATAATTGGTAATGTTATTTAGTGTTGCCATTATTATATTTCTAAACATAAAGGAAATAAAATTGTAATTATTCAAAGCAACATTATATTTAAATTGAAATTAATCAAGAATAATAATATTCATTAAAGTTCATATTCCCATTCACAATAAGATGAAGTGAGAAATTCTTTTACACTTTTCCCCCTTTTGCTTTGATATTAAATTGCACACAAAATATTATTCAAGATAAAGCTAAGCTACAGCTGGTATACTTATTATTATTTCTGATGTGGCCTGCACAGGATTGGTACCCACAATTAGTGGACTTATTAGTTACTGATATAGTTATTTTAGGCCCTCGGCCGAACTTAGTACTCTCACATTTCAGACAGCAAATCCCACTCCACCGGACGCTTACCCTGGGTGCAGTGGTGCTCTCCGGTGCGCGTTCTCCCACCCTACCGCCGCGCCGGTACGGTCGGTCTACCGCCCTAAATTTAATTTTTGGGTCGCTGTCGGATAAAACCTTGCTGCAGTACGGGGTTTGTTACAAGCTGTGGTAGAAATTCTGCCACGATAACGATTACAACGTATTTGATACCTCGGTTGCCCATATTATATCTTTTTTATCAGAATTGTTTGAAAGTGGTGCGTCCTATGGCACGCTTAATAGTCATCGTTCAGCCTTATCATTATTCCTTGGCAATAATCTAGGTTCAGATGATTGTATCAAAAGGCTAATGAAAGGAATATTTAGAATGAGACCGTCATTGCCGAAATACTCAAGTACTTAGGACTCACAAATAGTGTTAGGTCATATTTCAGATTGGGTTCCTAATAGTCAATTAAGTTTAGAAAAACTAACCAGAAAACTAGTTATTTTACTGGCATTATGTACGGCACACAGAGTCCAAACGTTTTCTTTATTTAAAACAGATAACGTTAAAATAAAAACGAATGGAGTTGAGATTGTAATATCAGATATGATTAAGACTTCAGGGATAGAACGAGACCAGCCAGTTTTGTTTTTGCCCTTTTTCCACGAAATTTTTTCGATTTGTCCGGCCCCAGCGATTGTTGACTTGTCTATGACTCGAGACTTAAGATCCTCGAGTACTGATCATCTCTTAATTACTGTGAAGCGTCCGCACATGAGCGTATAAGCAGATGGATCAAACAAACGTTGTGCGCGAGCGGTATCGACGTGGCGGTGTTCGGCGCGCACAGCGTCCGGCACGCCGCCACGTCGGCTGCGCGCGCGATCGGCCTCAGCGTCGACGTAATCCGCAAAACTGCTGGCTGGACTGCGTCATTCCAAACTTTTGCCTAATTTTATCATAGACCCCTCATACAGGAGTCAAATTTTGCAAAATTAGTTTGTTTGCCGTCCAATAGTAATCATTCAGAATAAACTTAATCTTCGTTTGGTGATCAATTGTATTGAAATAACTTAAATTATTAAGTATTTGTAATGGTTAAATATAATTATCATAAATGATTAAATAAACAAAATGATTTTTCACTCTTACTTCGCATTTCATTTATCGTGTACAGATAAACCCACGATAAATACTGACAAAACTCAATCTCTAAACATCTACCTGTTAATTTGTATCGAAAATGAAACCACGAAATATTATATATGATCAAACGAACTTCTCAAGTGAAGTTCGATCAATATAATATGAGTGGTTTCATTTGAAGATACAAATCTCCCACCCGCCCATATCCCAGTTTTGTGAATACGAGAAGAGTGAAAGTAAATCGTTTCTTTAAAAGAATGAACTGTCATGGCTACGTAGTATGGCTAGTGGGGAGGTAGAATAATTGATTTTTAATCGAGTTAAAAATAATCGATACTAAATAAATAAATATAAAATTCTTAAAGCGTGCGAGTGTTGCCTTGTAGGTCAAAGGACTACCTGTTAATTTGTATCTTCAAATGAAACCACTCATATTATATTGATCGAACTTCACTTGAGAAGTTCGTTTGATCATATATTATAAATAATAATTTAATATCTTAAAAGGCGTAGTAATGTAATATTGCAATTAAGAATTCTGAGTTTTCTAGTCAGTCAGTTAACAATAGATTTCTTAGAATTTTAATTAATTTCTTAGAAATTTACCTGGAGGTTCTAATATTTCTTTCTATTTAGGTACAAAGCTAAATGGAATGGACGTGAAATAAAAAAAACTTTCCGATAATTAATAATCTATCTAACTTAATTCATTTTCACTGATTTATTTATTATAAAGTTTAAAATCAAATTTTCTTTAATATTATTATACCTACATATTTTAAATATACTATTTAACCTTTGTCTTCTTTACGTTTAGCAAAATGTGGACAGGTCGCTAAAAGTCAATAAATCACTACAAACCAAAAAACAGTTTGTACACGGTAATGTAATATATTACCGTACCTAGTTTGTACGATCAGAAGAGTTTCTGTTTTAATTTGATAAAGCAAAATCTTTCAACTATTTATTAACTTTACGTATATACCTAGCGACGTACATAGTAAGGAAGTACGTTTATATATTAAAAATATCATATGTGGTTTCACGAAAAATTACAAGGTAGTTGACCGGTAGAAAAAAATAACTCGGTTTGGATCACTAGTTTCTGTATAATTAAAGAGGGAAATTCATCTTTTAATTATATATTTTAAAATATATAGATTTATCAAATTTAATTATGTTTATATTAGGTAAAATAGACTTTTAAATTATATTGAATGTATTACATTAGTAGACATTAAGCTGTTTCATACTTTCTTAGATCTACGCGAATATTTATTTACCTTTTAAATGAAAGTGTGTTTTTGAATATTTTTCGCGGTTTTATTTTATATTTTGGGAACCCGTCATCTCCCATGGCCATGTTTGCCGTAAGGCATTCAAAACGTCGGTAACTAAAATATAAAATACTAGCGACTCACCCTGGCTTCGCTCGGTTTCGTCCCTAGGTTGCTTCCCCATACAAACTTTCACCCCCATTTTCACCCCTTTAAGTGCTTATTTCCGGGATAAAAACTATCCTATGTCCCGTCCAGGGTCTCAAACTATCTTCTTACCAAATTGCATTTAAATCGGTTCTGTAGTTTTGGAGCCTATTCGATACAAACAAACAAACAAAAAAAAACAAATTTTTCCTCTTCATAATATTAGAATAGAAAACCGCGACAGCAAAATCCGAAAAGATAGTTTTATTTAAAACATAAACCGTTTCTAAAGTATTCAAACATTTACTGTTTAATTTGACTTAGTCGTACCAACGTAATTTTCAGTATAAATATACCTACTGCTCTTGTTTTAATATACAATTTCCACATAGAAGACTGGTTCTATAAGACCATTCATAATTCGACTCAGCATAAGAAAATGTAAAAACGAATCATTTTTACTTGCAGAGAAATATTAAAAAAAAAATCTAAAATCAGTATTTGCCATGAGTTTTAATAACTTTTCTAAAAAGAACTTTATAATTTATTCACGTTCATACTGTTGAAACAAGGGTTAATTGCCGTCAAACTTTTATAAACACTCTACGGAGCTCTTTTCATTATAAATTATGGGGACGTTGATAACTGTTTCCTTACGGATTACAAATTACGAACACGTTGAAAACTCGTCCGTTCACTAAATAATGTTTTGTGGAAGAGGCTATTTGTTTACCGCCTAATTGCTTTGAATCGTCGCCTCTAATACAGATCTATCCTTTGAATATATTTATTACTAGCATTGCCCGCGGCTCCGCCCGCGCTCACATGGCTAAGAAACAAATTCTTAGGATTTACATATTAGTATACTCTTAGATTGCAGTTTTTGTATTTTTTCTCAGAAATGAGATATTTTACCGCGGTAAAAAGTATTCTATATATTGACCCGGATAACCAGCTATCGCCATACCGAATTTCATCAAAACACCTCTAGTGGTTTTTCTGTGATGCGGTAACAGACAGACAGACAGACTGACAAAAATTCTAAAAACTAAAGATTCGGCCTCTGTATCGATAATAATGTTTATTTCAATAAGTTTTTCAAAAAAAAAAATTCATGTACAGATTTGGCTTAGTTACAATTTTATTATATGTATAGATTTGCCATGTCGATTAATAATACGCAGATCCCCCCGACCTAGTTAGGAGATATTCACATCGAATTGGAGAGGTTAACTGAATTAGAAAATTGTTGCTTATTTGTTTACTCCATTTTTTTGTATTCTTATTAATATTAGAACATTTTAATTACTATAAGAATTTTTGTTTTTGTACTCCTATAAAGTCGAAAATTGAAAATTCTAAAACTTTAAAAACAAGTTAATTTTTTATATTTAAATAAATATTAAAATTTTAAGGTAAGTTTAATAAGATATTGGATAAATAAAAGTTTTTCATCTCACTGAAAAATCAATATCAGACCACGTTAAGAGGTTATGCTAAATATTTATCAATATAATAGATGTCGTATTCAATATCTATTATAGTCGAGAAAATACAAAATATTAAGGATCTAATATTTTATTATGACTGGAAATATATATGACGAGGGTTCGCCACTATTATTAAAGTTTAATAGGACGGCACAATATCATTGCAAAGGCGCTGCGGATCGCCTGACATAACTATTATCTAATTGGATTTTCTATTACGGAGACAGTTGCTAGATTATGCTGAGATATCTGTACATATTATAATAAAATTGTAACTAAGCCGAATCTGTACATTAAATATTTTTTGCAAAATCTTATTGAAATAGACATTATATCGATATAGAAGTCGAATATATAGTTTTAAGAATTTTTGTCTGTCTCTCTGTCTGTCTGTCTGTTACCGCATCACAGAAAAACCACTAGAGGGATTGTGATGAAATTTGGTATGATAGTAGCTGATTATCCGGACCAACATATAGGATACTTTTTATCGCGGGAAAATATCTCATTTCTGAGAAAAAATACATAAACTGCATTATAAGAGTATACTAATATGTAAAACCTAAGAATTTGGTTTTTGGTCATCTGAACGCGGGCGGAGCCGCGGGCAATGCTAGTATCTAATAAATAAACACTTGACTAATGGGATTCACTTGAGATATATGTACTTATATTACTCCACCCTTACAACCCTAGGTCGATCACAAGATAATTATTTATATTTTAGGCTTATTAGTGAACGTTAAATTTTTATTTGTTACAATTTTGCCTATATTTAAAAAAGTTGGAGCTTCCCACGCCATTTTAACGTGACCTTTGCAATATAGAACTTAATTCAATATCCATTTATTGAAATGTTTTTTATTTCCTCGTTTTCGCCTCTTTCTTCTCAGTGAAATCTGTTTACGGATTGTTTAACTATAAAATACTTTTATAATTTACAGCGTATCAGAAGGCGTGATATTTTTTCTTATTTAACTTATAATTTTTGCTCCATTCAAACATTCAAGTTTATTAATTTTCTATATAATACAAATATATTTTATATACATATTTTATTAGTTTAACAGTAAAATCATTATCTTTATGTTGAAAGGCAAACTTGTTTGCATTGTAGGCTAATCATATGTTTTATTTATTTCTTGAAATAAATATACCTACTATTCGGGCCATTGTGGTATAAATACCGGTAAAGGATTATTTACAAAACACTTTTAGTGGAAATAAATTATTTATTTTAATACTCATTACGTATTTCAGAAGGTCAAATCCCGCGTGGGCCAAGTAATATCATTACTGAGAGAGATCCTCGTCTTCCACGTGACCGCCCATCACCACCTAGAGGGGACCCAGGTACCTGCTAAATAATTATTATTTTTTTAGTTTTTATATGGAAACAAACTATTAACCTGTAATATTATTTAACAATCGCAACCAATGATACCAGCCCTTCCGATTATTCTTATACCATAGAAAAAAATCCAATTATTATGTCACAGGACGGTAATTTACTCATGATGATGCCGCTGAAAACGTTGCTTGACTCGATTTATTTATCTATTACATAGCCTACTTATACTACACTATGACTTTATATAACTCTAAAAATCTAAAAGCCTCCGGCGCCATGAGGACAGCCAGTTGCCTAGTAGTCCAAATTGTGGCACGTTCAGATTAAAATCTACGATGAAATTTCTTAAATCTCTAAATACTGTTACTTCTTTTAAGAATTTAAGATTATAATCAATATTGTATTATAATAATAATTTGAAATAACTTTTAATATTACCAGCAAAATAGTTTATGTCCTTCAATTTTATAAAGTTTTATTTTATATTACTTTCAGTGCATGCATTACGGAAAGAATACGCTAGTGAGGGTGAAGGCGACCGCCGTGAATACGAGAGGAGTCAGAAAATGAATGACACAAAGAAGAAAATTGAAGGAATAGGACCAATAACAAAAGACGGCATGCCTGTGGCACTTAGATCAGTAAGTATCTACATTTCTTTAATTTTTATGTTCGGATTAAAAATGTTTTATATTCAAAAAGAACAAAGTTCACTTATATTAGGAAATTTTAATAGTACAATATTATTATAGTCTACAACTTAAACAATGGTAATCCTAAACATGATCTGAATTCTTGCATGACATTACGTAAGGTTTAAAGTTTTTTTTTGGGACATATTTAATGTTTTTGACTCCTTTATATAATTTGGCAAAGAATTGTAAAACTGTGCTCCTTTAAATGTAATAGATTTTATATGTGATCCGAGTTTTAGGCAGTTTAATTTTGTGTATTTATGTTTCTGGCGTTGTGTAAGTGCGTTTTAGTTTGAGAAGTGATTTGATTATTTTTCTTATTAGTAGTACCCATGTCATATACATGTTCTCTATATTAATTATAAGTATTTATTCCTACGTAACCGATGCCCACGTAATTTGCTTTTATTATACCTACTTGTTACTTAGTCAAATAATATATAAAAAAATTACACTATAAAGATCGCCATGGGTAACCCATGAGTATGGCATACAATGAGTCAATATCATAAAACAAAACTAATTTCAATTTCATTTTATTTTCCTTTTCAGGAAGTTAAGGACCCCTCGAGGTGGTACAAAAAGATGTACGATACGATACATAAAAACAAATTTGATGGTAAGTTTTATGTTGTTATTAAGTTTTTTTTTATTTTTATATGTATTTTTCTTTTATTCGAATTTTATTTGAGTGTTATACACAAAAATTATAAATTTTCTTTTTCAGAGGATTATGTGACTATTCGATACAAAAATCGTCGAGGTGATTATTTTGCATTTTCAAAGTCAAATCATGCATTGGTGGCTGTATCACATAACAAATGCATTTCAAATTTTGCTTTACGATTTTTTAATATTGATATTGTTAGACAAATTATAATGAAATTATTGATTAATACAATTCCCATTAAATAATTTTATTTAATAAAATGATTATTATATACGCAGTTTGTGGATAACAACTGGTAATTTTTCTAACAATACGAAACAACAATCTCAGGGCATTTGTATGAGCTCAATGTTATACTTAGCTTCGAGAGTGTATTGTATAAGCGTAAACATCCCATTAAAAAAATAACATGTTCTGCAAATTGAATAAAAATAACATTACTAAACAACCATATAATGTACTTAATATGGCTTAAAAATTATGCATATTTTTACTTAAGTTATCTTAAACACAGCACTATTGTTGTTATGTTATAAATATGAATTTTCATAACAACTTTTACTGTGTGTTTGTGTGTGTTTTTATATGATATATTTTCAAAATTTGCCGCTCTTGGTTTTTACGAACAAACGAACCGTTCGTTTAGCGCTGTCAAATTATAATAAGAATGCACTTTTCCATTATAACTATTATATTTGCAGTTTTTTTAATTAATTTTTCACTTTTGTTAAGAATATTACGTATTATTTTTAACAATGATGAATATTTATTTATCTATTTAATAAGGTTTGCTAATGGTCAATTAATAGAGCGCAATTATACATAACCGTTTGAAAGCAAACACAACTTGCACATTTTTGTAACCGTTTTTTAATTATGAAGATTTCAAAAACATAGTAATCAATATTCTAGATTAAACATTAGTTTAAAAAAGTGCGCGTGTGTGCACACACATGGTAGAAGTGAAACTTAATATTATATATTTGTCAGACAATAACAACGGTTACTATGGCAACATGGCAATGTATTTTATCTCATTCTCTCGCCGGCTTAATCCTATATATTTATGTGTTTGTCTCTTTCTAGTATCGCATTTCCGTTTCATCGAGTTTCAAATCACAACGATTCCAAAGAAGTTTCACTTAAAAAATATATGTATCAACATTTAACAATAACAACTACAAATGATAATTAATCATATAAATATCTATAATGTACAATTTAGACGTGCTAAACTCCAAAAAAGGGATGTTTTTGAATACTTCATGTAATGCTCGCACTTTGTGTCCTAAAATAATTGTACTGTTTTGTAAATGAGTGCTTAAGTACATGAATACTTATTGCATCACATTACATAGGCCGTTTGCGAGTATTGTCTTGGCTTACTAATTTTTAATAAAAAAAAAACATACGAAATCTTGTATAATAAATTAATTAATTTCACCAAAACCAAAGTAAAAACAAATTTTATATTTTAGGGGAACTCCAAAGACCCAGTAGTAACAGATCACAATATGCATACTTCGATCCGCGATCTGGTTATCTCAGTGAACCTGAAGGCGGGTTGAGACTCACGACGAGTACGTGGAGCGATGCGTACGACAGTGACGTAACTTCCGGTCCCCGGCGACGCACTGCTTCAGTGCAAGAGGAGAGGCGATTTGATGATGGGTCGTCGTATTTATCCAATAATAAGTGAGTAACTCTGTATCATATACCTATGAATTTCAATTTCCGGTCTTTATTCTGTAACCAGTGACTCCCTCTTGATACACTTTTGGAACGTTCCTAGAAAATATAGTGCAACTCCAAAGTCTGTATTCATGTCACATTTCGTTATCGTGAGAAAGAGGAATAAAGTAACAAACGTAGGTAGTAGGTACTTTCACATTTATAATATTAGTATGGGTGATTCTCTGTCCTAAATATTAAGATGCTTCATAATTATTAAACAAATCTCAAAAGAATAACAGTTTTTCGTATTATAATTATATGTATACTAGCTATTTTGTTGATATTAATCCTACTTTCTAAAAAATAGCATTGGCTTAAAAAAATTATACATTTTATTTTCATCATTGAAGGTACAGCACCTTAGCCTCAGGAAGAGCACGCCAAGAAGTATATAAGAACCAACCAGGAAGAATTGAAGACTACGTGCCAGGAAAATCGTCTGTTATCGACAAAGAAGCGAAACAGGTATTTTAAAGCAAAGGCATTTAAGTAAATACAGTTTTAAAATACGGGATTCGGGTGCCATTAAAGAAACAGTAGTAGTTAGTGACCGCATAAAAATGTTTAAAAATATAGTCGCCATCTTTTATATTTAATATATTATATAGTTTAATCTAATATCTAATAAGGATATTTTTTGAATTTAATAAAACTCACTCGCTACTACTGTTACCTACATAAAATTCATTCCATATCACTGGTTGGACGTCACAATTCATTCATTCATTCATTCATACCTATATTTTTAAGAACTAACCGTCTGTATACATAGGTATAAGAGTAACAAATTCTTAGCAAAAACAAAATTTATTTGTTTTCTTTTCTAGTGGTGGGACGAGGTCATGGACATTTTTGACGGGGTACGAAATTTTTCATTTTTTATCTGTGTACCTGTGATATAACTACGTACCTAATATTTGTTTTAAATAATTCTTACATTGGCTTTATCTTTCAGTTAACTGAAGGTTCTAATTAACGGAATAATTAATATTTAACTGAAGCACCTAGCAACGTACAATCGATAATAGATTATAATATTATTTTGTATGTATTTAAGTAATGTAAATGAAACGCAATTGAAATATTTGTACATAATGGAAATAACTAAACAAATTCGCTATTGATAATAATTGATATTGTCTTTCATAATGTAACAAAACGTTGACAAACTAAATTTCTGATGAAGAGTATTTTATTTTCTATCATATTAGAAAGTACAGGATATGTTGCTATGCAAAATACATTAAATTAAAAAAAACCTTAATAAAAATTGTTATGGTGCTAAAATGCATAGATCTCCTTTGAATACTCCCAGTTTTGCAAAACAGGTTTTGCGCTAAAGTGGATATTATAACATGTAACTTGGTCTGAGATGCAAATATTTTTTTATAATTATTATAAAAATGTCAGGTCCTGTTCTACTAAGTATGATACACTAAATTGAACAGAACAAGCCATCCACATTCATAGCTTTGAAATCCCTAATTCTATATACTATTTTAAAACTTTAATTAAACAATATATCTTGAAAAAGAATTTTCTTACCATTTAAATTCAAGTCATTCTATAAACAAGTATTTGCATCCCGGCCCCACTGGTCTGATCACTGATGCATTCAATGCTATGTCCACATCGCTGCTTGGGCGGGCACTAACAGTGGCTAGATGAGAACTCACCCCTGCCCCCTTACTCCACATTGCTCGCTCGTGCTATACAGAAGAGTGTAAGGTTCCTTAACATGTCTGCATGTTGTGGTGCCTTTCATGAGTGTACCTGTCCAATGTCATAGCTACATATACAACTATATCATTTATTTACATTAAAACAACCTATCACATTGGGCCAGATTTAATTTGCTTTGCATGTGTTTGTATTGATATTATTGCAAATAAAACTCGAAACTTGATCTTTATGTGCTATTTTTAGTCTTACCTTGATCGTTTTTTTTTATTTAATCAGTATTATATTCCGCGTAAGTCTCGTATTGGTTCGACATATTGGTTTGTCAGCAACATTGATTGACTGAATGACTTGATAAAAAAAACAAATTTTAAACATTATTTCAGTACTTATTTCAATGCTATCTAAACATAAAGTTGAGTTGACTGAGTTTTCATATTTTAATTTCATACTTCAGTTCATTTGAATCGCACTTATGGTATAAGTTTTTAAAATTAAAAAAATATATGTAAATAAAGCAATATAACATATTATAATATGTACATAATAAAAATATAAGAAAAAAAGAAAAATATCAACAAAGCATGCTTTTTATAACCTAAAATATCTAAAGTTATAATGTTAGTTTATGTAACATCTAATTTGCAATGAAATTTTAAATAAATTGAAAAACTAGAACAGAAAATTGGTTTCACGTAATATCCACTGGTAACGATATTATTCAATTATTTTGGAATACCTTTGCACAGAGATCTATATTACTTCATCATTGGTTTTTGTCTTCTATTAAATATGTTACGTAATTAGTAGTAATAAGTGAATGTTGTCTTTATAATAATTATGTGAGCTATTTTATTCTTTTGATTCAATGAAAGCATGAATTATAGACGTTCAAGCTTGAGAACATACGCAAGTGTTGCAAATTTTAATGGGTTTATTTGAATGATTTAAAATACTGTTCTTTTGCTTAAACTTAAAATAATAAAATTATTTTAATATATAAATATAATGGAATTATATTTTTTGCAGCAAAATGAATCGAGTACACAATCGCAATCACAACCCTCACCGAAAGAAAAGAAAGATCTTACATCAGCAATTCTCTCGAAATCTAATATGGCAAGGTATTTTATTCTATAAACTAAATTCCGAAGTAGAATTTGTATTGACAAAAAGAAACCAACAAACATTGCTTCAATGAGGGTAATGGAGTACCTACTGTGTCATTACGATCTTAAATATATCATGTAAAAAAAAATGTGCATTCACAGTTATTTTTGCTTTCATATATACTACAGATTAATTAAGGAGTTTTTGACATTAAGGAAGTAAATTAAACCCAACTAACTGGTATATTCTTATAATTCACTCACTAGTTGTGCACTATAATATCTGCTGCGCACATGGCTGGTTTAATTGAGCCAATCTCAATGTCGTGGCCGAAGTCGGTCAGAAAGTCATTCATTATATTTTCGCTTAAAATATCTATACTTTATCCATATTTTCTTAAATACAGAGCATTAAAAGAATCGGGCTACGAATCCGACTCGACGTTGGTATTCCGGCGTCGAGAAGATACAGATCCACCGCTATCGCCTGCAGAGCGTCGCGCCGCGTACCGTGACCTGCAAGCTGGTGGGGAACCCCCCATACGCGGTTTTAGGTCACCAGCACCACCTAGAACAGGTAAGCCATTTAATTACCAAAGAGTATTTTGAAAATCATGTAATTAAAATTTTTTAAAACGTCAGTACGTAAATGGGGTTTGTAACTATGTAATATGAAAATATTATGATTAAATTAATATCGGGTTTATACATTAAAAACTACTTATCATTACAATAAAATTTAACATGTTTTAATATATAATATTCGTAGTTCATGCTAAGCATATTTATGAAGATATTAATAAAAAATTGATTTTTATTTCATTTTAATATTAAATACGCGTTTTAATGGGTCTAATTTTAAAAATGAAATATTCACTGAAACTAGTGGCAAAAAAAAAACTCTGGGAACTTACATAATAAACTAACTATTAAAGCATGATTATTGGTTTGGTTATGGGTCTTCTCTTCTTGCATCTACTAGAAAATATTTTTTATGAAAATAATTATATGACGAAAATTATTATTTTCGTTTACTAGTTAAATTTAAAAACTACACATTGGTCCTATCCTATTAATCTAAGTCAAGGTTGGTGCATAGGCTTATGTATAGTATAACTCATGTCATTTACCGTTCGAGCTATTGTCAAACAAGGTCATAGTGTAATGACAATGTAGGATGCTCTCTAACCGTGATCACGTTAGTTATTATCGTCAATCACAACAGGTAAGGTTTATATATTTTGCATGGCTCTAAATTAATATTAATAACATTGGTGCTGGTGCGTCGATGACTGCATTAAAGGTAAAATAGTTATGCATGATTATGGTAGACTCCAAAATTAAACAGACACTCTTTAAAATTTATTATCCACGTATTTAAATCTGGCACGTTTTTTACCACAATTAGTCTACAGTGCTTTACACCTTTTCATTTACAACAGGAGCACAACAGTCACGTTTTACTCACGTCTAACGAAAACTGAGAAGATGAGATGATTGAATCATAATTGAAATTCCACAGATGAATCAGAAATTGAATATATCCCCATATCATCTACTTTAACAAAAATACGAGTTCATAAAAAGACACCTCAATTACATGAAGTGATTTGTTATCCTATTACTAACGTTGATAAGAACTATAATGACAAACCAGGGAGTATAATGGCTGAGCATCCTCCAATACCTCCTCGAAGAATATCTTCTAAAAATAGTCGCACACTTAAGCTAATAACGTCTTCAAGACGAATGTCACCCTCTCCTCAGCGAAAAACATTTGAACAGTCTAATGTAGAATTTTTAAAAGATAAAATTAGTAGCAAATTAAAAAGACAAAATACTCATGTCATAATAAAAAGAAACCCCACTTCAACTACGAGTCAAAGCCGGGCAATGTCTACTTCTGCACCTCCAGCTATAAATAGAAATAAAAATGTTATGACAACTACAAGTATTAAACAAAAAGCAACTACATTTAGTCCTAAAAGTACTGGAACTAGTAGTTTTAGTTCTCCCCGGAGAACAATTCTGCCTATTAATTATCCTAATTCGGAACGAAAACGGAACGGGGCCTCATCATCATCTGTAATAGTTGAAGGCGGTGTTGGTAGGAAAACACCTATTACGAGTATATTAGACAAGGTAACTTCATTAGACAAATTATGGAGCTCTCAAAAGAGGAATGAACGTATAGATCTTAGTAAAATAAAACCTAAAAGTACAATAAAAAGAACGAGCGTATTACCCAAAGATGTTATTTCAAAAATATCAAATCCTGGAACAAGTGTAACTCATAAAAGTAGAGATATGATGCGTACTGCAGAAAAATTACAAAAAATGAAAATATCCAGTACTCCAACTAGTAAGTCTACTCCATGTTTACTAAAATCAGACAATAGACCCGTTAAATCGAACTCTTTGCAAATATTATCAAATATGTCAAAATCGTCGTCTCATATACCTCCCAAGGCAAAGAAACAAAACCAAGTAAGAACGGCAGTTGTTACAAATTTAAAGACAAAGAAATCTTTGGAAAGTATTTTGATAAAACCTCGTATCGAAGCATGTAATGAACAAAGCAATAAAAAAGTAAAAAACTTACATAAAAATGTAAACAAAGTCCCAAATAAAAAAAATACATATAGAAAAGAACTGAGTAACTTACCTGATGAAGAAGAAAGTTGTAGCCAATTTGGGGACATTTTAGATGATACATCAATTTTTGGCTCAAAGGAAAACTTTCATAAACATGATAAAGAAATCAGACAAGCCCGAAACGCTATAATTTCAGACTCTTTTTTTCAACATCTCTTTTTTAAAAAACAATTAATTAAAGTATCTGATGAGCATTTAAACCAAAAGTTTATGAATACAGTACAACAAAAAGCTAAATTATTTCAGTCCTTACCAGAAACTTATTTAAACACTAATAGTTCAACAAACACGTATTTAATTCACCGTAAGCCAGTCTCACTCTCACGTTTCAAAATGTGGGACAGACAACTAAGTCCTATGCACATCCAAAGTTCAAGATCTATTTCATGGCCTGGAAAAATGGATGGTAAAATTCGGAAATTCGATAGTTTAATTAAATGCGATAGTGAATTCGGGTCAACATCTTCATTAGCAACAACAAGAAGTAGAAGCGAACCACCTGGTAATAAATTATACTTTTCTCAAACATCCCGACCAGTTTCTCCTACAGTAGTGTTCCATAAGAAAAAACAAGAACAAATACTTGATAAAGGTTCAGTATCGCCGACTAAATTAGAACATTTACAAACTAAAAAAATCTCCGCAAAATCATCTGATTTGCCTAAAAAATCTGAAGAGTTAAGGAAATACGCTTCACCAACAAAAAATATATTTGAGTCTGTAAAAAACGGTGGAACATCTAAGGATTCTGATAAAATTCAAAGTACAATGTACTTTTCTCAAACTTCACGACCTGTGTCTCCAAAAATTATTGACAAAAGGTCAACCAGTAGAAGTATATCGCCACTATCAATTAGATCTCCATCTTACCGCCGTATTCATAATGCACGAACACATTCAAAGGTAGAGTCTATAAAGAAAGGATCGAGAACGCGAAGTGCTGATAATGTCGAGAAAGAAATAGATCAAAATCAAATGTCTATTAGGACTAAAAGTGATTCTAATTTATTTACAAATGATCCAGAATACGACGAGTACATACGTGATATTCAAAACACAAAGGGTAGGTCTGAACGATTTCGGGAACTGAATCGATATTATGCTTATTTAGAAAGGGTGGCTGAATTAGAAAAAGCTACATCAAGCAGAAATCTATGTTGTAGAAAAAGAGATGAAGAAATAATTGATTTTGATCGATGGAAAAAAATTCGCACAATTGAAAGAGCAGAAGAAGAACTTAACAATTTATATACTAAATTAAAACGAGCTCAAAATGAAGATGATGTCTTTTTTTATCCAAAAGATGTTAACGATATCAGATGGAATTTTAATAGAGAAAGAGGCTTAAGGGCAAAAGAAAAATCTGTAGAGGACTTAAAAGAAGAATTGCAACATAAAAACACCCAAGATATAAATGAAATAGATCATTATCAAAGCAAAGATACTTACAAACCATTGTGGAGAGGAACCAGTGTTGCTGAAACAGCTATTAATATAAACAAAAAGAATGAAGAAGACAAAGGACCTCCTAAAAGTATTAAACCGGTAATAAAGGCACAGTTAAAACAAGATTCTTTATCTGAACTAAGAAAAAAAATCGGAATTGGTAATCGATTATGGAGCAGTTTATCAATGGACCAAGTAAATGCTTTAAAAAATCAATTAAATGCAATATATAGTAAAGAATGCGAATCAAAATCAAATAAGGATCAAGAGAAATACACAATTGAAGTTAAAAATAGTAAAAATGAGCTTAATCCCGCGCTTCATGTAAGATGTAGTTCATTAGTCACACCTAAAACAAAAATACATGAACCAGAATTAAGTAAATCTGAATCAATTGCAGCAATAAACTACCCTTTAACTTCTGAAAAAGAGTTAAAAAACAATGTTAACAAACTGCAAATGTCACTAAGCGAAATTGAGAAGAAAAAAATATCACAGTCTTTGAGTAAAGAAATTTTAAATCGAATAAATAAGTTCGATGCAATACCTAAAACTCAAGAGACTGAAAAACCTGTAGCAAACCAGGTAAGTAATAATAGATGTGAGGAAAGAAATAGGGAAGTGAAGAATATCGAAACTGATACCCAATCACAAGCTTTGCAAATTGCATATTCAACTCAAAAAAGTGAAACATTAAACCAGTCGTCAGCTAGTGAAGCAGAAACTGGAAGTTCAGATATCTCAGGTCAGACTGTTATTTATAAAGGTCCTAAGAAAGACGTTCAAAAGAAAGTGGAATATTTCGAATCAGTAAAAGAAGATAAAAAACAACTTAATACTATTTATCATGCAAACGATAGCTCAGACGACAAAGTTACGTCAAAAAATGTCATTAAGGTTTTAAGTTCTAATGAATGTAAAAGAGAAAAGAATCAAATATTTTTATCACAATCATGTGCAAATATTAAAGAATTATTCGGTGAAATTGAAAAAAACAAATTTTTATCGTTACCATACAAGACTGACCTATATTCGAGATCACCATCGCCGCAATCGGAAGTGTACGTGAGCGATCGAAATACGCCTGACACGCTAAGGTTTTCTAGTGACGAGACAATCTGGCGTAGTCGAAGCCCGTCCCCCGATCCGGAGCGTTACTGGCGGGCCTACCTTAAGCTGGCACGTGAGGGGGAAGTTCGGCGCCTTGCACGACGTTTCGATTCACCCTCCGCAGCGGGCGCAGTATTGCGACGATTTCGTAGCGATCCAGAAATAATACGAAACGATATTAAAAAAAGCTGGCCCTCTAGTGAAAGGGCCTCTAGAAGGGAAAAATGTAAGACTTTACTACCAGTGGCACGCATGCCACTTCGACCTAGTAATCGATATATGCCGCATATTGACGTTATATCCAAACTAGCTGCACTTCATAGACGTAATAATACACGATCTCGATCTGCTGAAGAAGCCTTAGAATGTCGTCCTGGAGAAGTAGAGCGTATTCGCCGCCGATTCGAAGCAATGTCACTTCTTGGCCAAATATACACATCTGCTCCTGACGTCAGTGACCTTCAAAATATTGCATCATATTTAAAAGGCCCATGGATCGCTCATCGGTATCCAAAACCCGAAGATAATAATAGACCATTACCAGATTTTTCTACCTTAGTCCGAGGTCGCATCACACCTGACAAGAGAGATAAAACTAAAAAAAGTCAAGATTCAATAAAATTGAGCTCCATACTTAAAAGTGAATCATTAGCGAAACAAGCTTTCGATCCGTCGGCCCATAGGCCGGCCAGCCGCTATGAGCCTCCACGCACGCCGCCCCGACCTCCGCAGGCGTCGTGGCCCCATCGTGTAGCGCCCTATGTCACGTCATCGCGACACACAGTTACCTTTCAAGGTTAATATTTTTGATCTATTACGCCAGATTTATTTTATGTTTAGTCTTGGAGCTACTTATGGAATGTTTATTGAAGGTCAATTGATTTTCGTAAAAATAAATTTATCTCGACTTAATAATCTATACAGTATATATATATGTCAAAATTACCTTAATAAAAGTAAAGGAAAACTACGAATATCAATTTATCTTTTTGGTAGCAATAAACATATATCGAATTTAGTTCCTGACTTTTTGTTTTATTATATTCTGTTAGAAACGGACTCAGCTCCAGAGCCACCACGTCGAGCATCGCACGGCAGTTATTCCGACTCAGGCAAGTATCTGTGTAGTAATCTGAGCATTCATCCATATCCATACTAATATTATAAATGTGAAAGTGTGTTTGTTTGTCCTTCTTTCACGTCAAAACAGAGCGACAGGTTGGCGTGATTTTTTGTGTGGAGATAGTTGGAGGGCTGGAGAGTGATATATCTAGGGATAGTGATAATCGAAATTATCTGATTATATCTATTCTAAATGAAAACCCCCGTTTAGTAATTTTTTACATTTTTTGCCTGGAAGTCATAGTCGTAGATGTAATATGCAGGTAATTTGTAGAAAGAAAGTTTTTAATAACATATTCGATTAAACAATTTGTTTAAAAAAAAAGTAGATTTTTTTAAAACTGCTCGACTGATTTCGATAAAATTTAAATGGGACCACCTGGGAAGCCATACCCTTTGAAACAAAAAACATATATTTCCTAATCGGTTCAGGCGTCTTTGAGTAATCGGTGAACATACATAAAAAAAGATTCCGACGAATTGATAATCTCCTCCTTTTTGGAAGTCAGTTAAAAACATTAACATTCTGATAGCTGTAAAATGTATATTGTGTATATTATATCATAGCATAAGATTAGTTTGTGTTTTAAAAACATACAAATTAAAAAAAAAACACCTAATTTATTACCCATTACTTCAATTTTAATGTAATATTACTCTTTGTTTTATGTAATATATTATAGATGCATGTAGTACACATTCATCAGAACTTATAAAAACAAAAAAAATGAATGGCTTTTGTTTAATACAATCGAAAACTTATTTGCATACTTGCCTAGTACAGATTTGAAAACACATTCGTACATGAACTTGAGCTTAGTTTTTTATATACGGTTTTCTGTAAGCTTATATTCGTACTCTATTTGTTATTTTAAAGGTCGGTGTAGATATTTACGTCACCTAATTTGATTGAGCCAAAACCTGTCGGCACAGTTTTTATTCCATTGTAAACAGTATCTTATTCTGCGTGCTTCGAAATACACCTTCGTTGCGTTGCTTTTATTTCAAAGTTATTAAGTGCAAAAATGATATTATTGCATCAAACCATTATTTCACTATCAATCAACAACTTTATCATTCGTACTGACTGATAAAATTTCTTATCATTAGCTCAGTAATGTGCAGAGTGTGAAAAGTATAAGTCAAGTACTTAAATGTGATAGCGTTTCAACAAAAATGAAAAAATATCATTCAAGTGAAATAATTTTAAGTGAAAGTGGTTTCAAAAGTAGAAACTCGGAAGTGCTTTATGACGATGATAATGTTCATTTCTCAAATATTCCCATGTCAGGTTCTATGTCCAAATCACTTAAGGCATTGAACACTTATGTTAAAAAAAATATTTTTTACGACGAAAGTGAAGTCACAGAAGATAATCAAAATGATGATAGCGCTTTTTTCTCCAAAGAAACTAGTCCTAATGAATCTGTGTCTAAGAGTGATTCAGACAGCCTCAAAAGCATTAACTCGGAGAAAAAATGTGATAGTCAAACATTATCATCATTAAATAGAAACGAGATGATTGTAACAGATGACCCAACTACATTAACTGATGATTATAAGTTTAATAAGCTATTAGAAAACAATAATATAAATGAAACATCTGATTTCTTGATTACAACATATAAAAAGCAAATTTATGATTACGATGATGAAAAAAATATTTCTACTATTACTACAAATTGTAATGCACTTCTCACAACCGATAGCGTTAATATAAAAAATCTAAATAAGGTAGAGGAGGAGAATACCCAAAATACTAAAAGTATTCCATTTCTTCCAACTGAACATAATATCATAAATGAGTCAACTAAATCACAAATAATAGAAACCCACGAACCCGATAATGATAGTAAAATTAATAAAATTGTAGCTCCGACTGCCCCTAAACGTACTACATCGAAAGGCCAAGCCGATTTTCGCGGTATGAATTACAAAACAAAGATATACAAAGATGTTACGGATAAACCAATCCCTTCTCAACCCAACCACAATTTGAAAGAAAACCGTCTGGACATTGAAAAATACGAATTTGAAATATGTCAAAATAATAAAAATAAAGCGCAAATCCCTCTCGAAGAATCTAAAATAAATACTTATTCATCACTAACTTTAAATAGAGATAAAAAATCAAAGCAAAATGTTGATTTCAACTATGATGTTACCCTTAGGCCAAATAATTTAATATCACAGAATAATAATCGACACACTATACATGATTTTAAAGAATGGGGAAATAGAACAGATATTTATCCTGACGTTTATGCACCTATTCCCTATAGTAAGTAGTACAAACTATATTTTCTTATCTTTAATCAACACAACAACAAAGAAATAATAAATTAATTATCTATAAACTCGTAAGTTTAAAGTACACTCACGTAACTATTTACCTACTTTATACACTAAAAGAAACTTTTCAATAAATCGAATGCGTAAAATTTGGCGGGAGACGCCGATGAAAGTGCATCTGATAATCTAGCGACAGTCGTCGCGACGTTGACAGACGGACTGGCTGATGTTTCTCACATACATCGTGCTATAAAAAAGTTTTTGTGAATGTGAGTTTTATAGTGGTTGTAAAATGGGCATATTAAAACAAATAAAGAAATTTACTAGTCCGGGTATGATTTTCTCATAATATAATATGTATACATTTTATAAAACTTATCGTTTAATTATCATATTTAACTTATCGTTCAATTAACTATCATAGATTTCAAATAGATTACGTAAAATATTTAGCGTTATATTTTTCAAAACCATAAGTCTACTCTTGGTTTTAATTTAAATTATTTATACATTTTTATGTTTGACCGATAGTAGTTTGCGATCAAATAAACTGATTACAAAATGCTAAGACAAGTTTTATGGCACTATTGGATGAAGTTTTATGACAATAATAATAATTATTATTATGTAATTCTTACAAAATTATTAAACAGCGATAATTTTCAATTTTGATCAATTATTCCTTGTATTGATATAACTGTAGTTTTGAAACAAAAAAAAAACGCTTTTAATCAACTGTAATGTAAGGGACTCGTAAAGTTCATTGAGCTCGTGGTTTTTTATTAATAACTATTGAAGATTCTACTATCCTTCTTGCTTCCTTTTCAGATCAGTCCAATGGTTAATTTCTTGTATTGTCGTCCAAATCAAAAAGTAGATAGGTTGTTTGTTACAAGTAAAGCTAATAATAATAAGCATTTATTTCGGACAAGAAGTCCATAAAAATCATCAGTATTTTACATTAAGCATAGAACACAGAAAACAGAAATAAAAAATGCTACAAAATTATAACAGAAATAGACAAAGAAAATTAAAAAATTTTACATTTAAAAATTAAAATTAAATAAATCATGTATGTATAAAAGAGTATTAAAATATTTAAGTAATTTTTACAGATATCATTTGTATGAATGAAAAAGGCATAATTTTAAAAATATTTGTAAACAATAAATATATCAAATGTATATAATATGTATATTTCAATGTAGTACTAGTATAAATAGGTACATATTTATACTAGTACGTACGGATATAATTTTATACTAAAGTACTACTTTCTTAGCCATTAGTTTATATATTTGTACAAACATAAACGATTACTCTTATGTTTCTTCTTATCATTTTCAACAATACTTTTTATTATGAGAAAGTTTCTTATTAAAATAGCACTAGTCACGTATCTCCTTGACATAATCGAGATGTTTTCTATACATCTAACGCAAATGTTCGGTTATACGTTTAAGTTAGGTATATTAAAAAAAACAATATAATATAAATGAAGAAAATCTAAAAATATCATAACGTCTGTGTAATATTTGTTGTAAATTATTTGGATGCCTTGATTTATATTAAAATAATTTACTATACCACCTTAACATTATTAAACACTAGCATTGCCCGCGGCTCCGCCCGCGTTCAGATGACCAAAAACCTCATTCTTAGGTTTGACATATTAGTATACATATCTTACATAGCAGTTTTTGTATTTTATCTCAGAAATGAGATATTTTCCCGCGGTAAAAAGTATCCGGTATGTTGACCCGATAACCAGCTATCACCGTACCAAATTTCATCAAAATCCGTCTAGTGGTTTTTCTGTGATGCGGTAACAGACAGACAGACAATAAATTGTAGATTTCTGCATCTGTATCGATAATAACGTCTATTTCAATAAGATTTTCCAAAAAAAATTTAATGTACAGATTCGACTTAGTTACAATTTTATTATATGTATAGTTAAACATTAGCATTAATAAGAAATATATCCTAAACAATTCTTATTAAAATAGTTGTATAATTGTGAAACTTTCCATAATATAGTAAAAATTCCGCCTCTTTAATGTACTAACAAGAAAAAGGAAATGTAATTCTCGTTCCCCAATCGTATATTTTTAAAATCCGGATCGTAACACCTAGTAAATGTATGTACGTGTTCCATGTATTCTATAACGCCTTTTGCAGTAGCTGAGCTTGTTTTGACGTTTTGTACATATATGTAGGTACAAGCGTGTTTACACGGAAGCATGGCGCGTGCCGCGAATGCCTATTAAGTGAAAGTTAACGAGCGATCTACAACCGCAAAGGGCTTTCATTTTTTAACATTGCTACTATTTAAGTATATCTTTTTATCTATAATTCTAAAAATTTACGTTTTTACCATCCATTTAAATATCAATTCAATAAAATAATATTTAAATATTAAAGTAATAAATAATTTGATTACATTTACGTATAAATGATACTTATGATTTCGCTTATCATTTTACAATGCAGTACCTAAAATGTAAATTGGAACCTGACAATGGTGAAATATCATCATTATACCTTAAAACAGGAAAATGCGAATAAATCTCAATTTACAAACGAGAACGAAATGTCTTTCGTTTCATCATTGTACTTCCGTCCGCAGTATGAACATAATGATCAGAATAATAGTCTACACGCTTCCGTTACGATACGCCGGTAACATTGTACACGACATGTATGTATATTTTCTCTCTCTATACATCGCGTTTCTCGTTACAAAGGGTCGTGATCCCATTTAAACACGGCCTTTTTTTGGTATAACGTCACGCCACACAGCTCGATTAGCGCTATTTTACTAGCATTGTGAATGTTAGTGTTAAGAGTAGGTTGACTTGGTTAGAACAAATGCAATCTCTATATCTATTTCCCTGTTTTTTCCAGTACATACTTAGAAACATAGTAAAAGTACTTCAAGCCTATTATTATAGCTACATGTTATGTGTTCAAAATATTTTATTATTTTCTAAAGACGAGGGTATAGCTTACTGGGTTTTCTTCCATGTAGGTTGTAACAAGACGTTATTGGCCCTTCCCTATTCTAGAACGTATGTACTTTCGATAACGCTAAAAATCTTATTATTATAATAATTAAACACAATTTAATATTAACTATACTTCCTATTATTAGGCTCACAATAGTATTCTTTAATCAATATTCATCCAAAATGTAATATTATATTGTGATGATCATCAAATGAATGAAGGGCTAGGAAGATAGAGATGTGAAGCGATAAAATATTAAATAACGTTCTAACCGGTTTCGATCGAAGCTTTGAGTTATGTCTCGCCACATAACTTCTCGTAGCGCCAAAATATTTACTCATTATAGACATGTCATTACATAAACTACCATGCCACTTTCACTGACACAAGAGTCAGTTTTATAGAATTTTTATATAATGTTTGTTTAGTTTATTGTATGATACTTGTTTAATACACATTGTAAGAACATGTTAGTTGTAAATTTATTTTCAGTTGTAAAATACTTATATTAAATGTTTGTAAATAATTTACGTTTAATTCTTCTTATACATAATAAAAGTGATAATGAAATTTAATCACAATTATCGTGTAATGAATACTTTTTGTTTAATGAAAAAATAATTTAAATGTTCTATTTTACGTAGAATCTCCGAGCCGACGCTACGTGGAGAGCGATGTAAACATCCACTATCGGTGTCCGGTGCGACACGACCCCTTACCGCTTGTTCCTGAAAGGGAACTCGCCCGGCAGCAGGCGGAGCACATGAAACGACTCTACAGAGAACAGCGACGAAACAAATATTTACAGGTAACATAAATAAATTGCTCTAAAAATGGTTCTCACATTTCATTTGACACTGCTTCATTTTGCGGTTATGATGTAATGTTACGGTGATGTTGGTGTTAACACAATTAGTCCGAATGCAACCTCAATATATCTATCCTTATGTTTTGTCGTATTTTTATAGTATTTTATTTTAGAAAGGAACATTTAAGAAAGGTTTAATCTACCGTTAAGACAGAATATTACGTCATTTATTACCTAATGTTAGATAACATGAATCAGCAATTATATATTGGCTAATCCTATTTAGAAAAAAAATACAATTTTCGATTAATTAACTTTATAATACTAAAATTTTTGCTTTTCTAGAACTTGTTATGACATACATTTATAAAATTTTCTCATGCTGACATCTTTCGTAAAGTACAGTGATACAATCTTGTATTGAACTTTTTCACAACGTTGTTAGCTATTTCTCAAAGTATTAATTCTATAAAGTTTTACGTGAATATTATAATAACTTTTGCTAGACTTCGTAGTTTTTAATCCTTTTATTATTAAAAATACTCGTGTTCGTATGAAGAAAAAGTAAAAAAAATGCGTTTGTTAGAACTGACAAGCGTAAAAGTAATAGAAAATTCCCAGTCATAGATCACAAGTACAACGATCCTTTAAAGCACGAATTGAGATTTTTTGCCATCAATGAACATACTTTTTTGAGATACAAAAAAATGTTACTTAGAAGTATTCTAGTTAAAATACATAATTATAAAAAAAATGTCGATAAGTAAAGGAAACTAAAATGCTTTATAAACTAAAATGCACGAACACTCTCGATCCAAATTATATAGTATATATAACTACATACTCTCTACGTCTAATCGTGACTTTAATGTTGGACTACGATTAACGTGTCAGCCAACGTAGATCTACTGAACACTAATTATTACTCTACCACGAACTGTGCACGCGAGCGCGAACTCTACAATCCTTGCACTATATCAAAGCATAAAAGTACTCACAAATCTCTACATACTCGTATATTTACTCTGTCAAATTAGAATGTTCATAATAAAATGCTTAAGCTTACGATTAATCGTGCATTAGAACTGAAAAGCCATTTAGTATGTCATTCATCATTGATCCGTAACAACGTAAATAACTAATTCATTATCAACTTGCACGCAACTGCAGTTTGATCAATATCTTTTACCTTACTTTACTTTCCCAAAATCTATTTACAAAAACGATATCTGCTCGTATTTCGTAAGACCTTTATTGACATAAAAATATTTCAAAAGATTACTGCATTATAATATGTTGATTATTGCATTTATTGATGACATTTTTTGTTATCAGTACAATAATGTAATATTTCTTAATCCATTTTTCGACATGTTATCTTATCAGTACCTTCTTACATATTTTTATAAATTTAATAAATATTAATTAAATATATTATATAATATGTACCCTATGGTTTATGTCATTATATTAAATTTTATTTTAGTCAACAATATATAAGAAGTAAAACATGCAACTTTATAATGAACCAACTATGAAATCTCTACAACTCTATCTAACTTTAAAATGAGCTAGTTAAAATAATAATATAGCAGACAATTGAAATATATTAAGTTTAAACATAACGGTAGGATATCATATTACGATGCGGCAAGGCTCTATGTATGTATATGGAAAGCAGTTTCTTCACACTTGGATTGCTCTGGTGGTTTTCATACCCACATTAAAACTGTGGCCATCTGCTCAGAACGTCAGTTCGCGTACGCACACCACACCGTTACGTTAGTGTATTGTGATTTGAGAACTGTGTTACGCGTATTGTGCAAATGTTATATGTTAAAGATGTATACGACGACGGATTTAGTGATTAAGGTGATGATATTATGATACTGGAACACTTGCTCTACTATTAAGTGAAATTCTTTATTACTAGGATACTAATTTTCACTTCCGGTGTTTTGAGTAAACAAATAAGCCCGTATATCAAAACTAATACGTATATTTATATTGTAATTTAATTCAATATATATAGAATTCAATCAAATCGAAATTCAATATAATTTAAGTCAAATATAACGTTTTTTTATTCTATTAGTTTTCGAATTATTTAAAACAATTAATAGTATTTGTCTACATTGTAATCTATACTACGAGTATATTATAAAGAGGTAAAGTTTGTGAGTTTGTAAGGTTATAGGGGGTAGTCTCTAAATCTACTGAACCGATTTAGATGAAATTTGGTAAGAAGATAGTTTGAAACCCTGGGAAGACATAGGATACTTTTGATTCCGGAAATCATACCTTAAGTGGGTTAAAATGAGGATGAAGGTTTGTTTTGGGAAGCAAGCTAGGGACGAACCCGAGCGAAGCGAGGGTGTAATATAATTTTAAAATATAATACAATTTTTTTTTACTGAAGACACTTATATTATCTATCCTTTTGATTTTTACTCTAGGAGCTAGATATATTTTGAAACTCTCGACCGAATTATTTAAACGCTCCTAACGTCTAATCAAATATATGTAAATAAAGAATAATATTCAAAAAAAAAATAACTTTAAAATTAAAATTATATTTTGCCACAGATTGGAATCGAGAACTGCTTAAAATATTTCATTACATTGGCGCGAAATCGAGCGCAAAGACGACTTTCACTAAAGGGCTTGGCATTCTTTCAACTTTATGTAATAGTAATTCACGTTTCAACGCAGTTGTAGTTTTATTTTTCCATTTTTAGAGTTACAAACAATTAGGTACAAGTTTGGTTTCTAATACGAATGTTTGCGAAGAGAAACTAATAACATTTTGAATTATACAAATATAAATAAACAGATAATGTAAATATGAGAAATGCTTCTGGAATTTATAGTATTATCTGATATTTTCATCAGTAGATATTATCTTTCTAATCATTAACAAAGTATCACGCAACATAACTCTCTATTTAATGATTATATAATTTAATATAATTTATTAACACATTTATAAAAGTAAAGTATAATAATACCTTAATGTTGTGATCTGGCGTGTGATACGGAGTATAAGTAATGCTTGAAAATAGTACAATTTTATTTGTTCCTAATGCCATTTTTAGATAATTTTAATTCATTTACTTGGCAATAAAATGTAATCAATCTCGCGTTTCCAGGTATCCTTCCGTGTACCAGGTCAATAAAATAATAATAATATATTCATTTATTTATTTAATAAGTAGATTATATACTATTATTATAACATATATCATATACATAATAAAATATATTACGATATATCATTGCTTATATGTATAAAATATATGTATATTAATACACTTTACCTATTTCTTGAGTACTGTTATGCCTAGAAGTATAATAGTCTAATAGATTAAAGCTAACCTAACCCGAGCCTCAGATAAAGATAACCTTTTGAATGAAACTAATACGCAGCGAATACTGCTCTTAGATCTCACTTTCCATGATAAAAGGACCACCTAGAATTATAATACCTAATAGCATACATCAAGGAACCAGCCTTGAACTTCACATTCCGTCGCAACTTAAATTACAAGTACAATAATAAAATTCCTTTCATTTAATCTTTAATTTAATCTTGAACTCTGTATTGAACACAGTAAAGACGAAAACAGTTTACAATATTGAAACATGACGGAAATATAAATGATTTGCTTTATTATTATTGAATATATATTTAATTAATTAAACATGTTACAATCTTATCTATTTAATTTAATACATTATGTTTATAACATGTTTTTGATAAAATTATACAGTTCAAAACTCTATTGGCCGATTTCACCAACGTCACCTAAGTGTAAGGGATCCCCTAAGCATGGTTAGGGGGCTGTTAGGGGACAGTTTCTATTTCACCGACAGTTAGGGGTCACCTAAAAATAAAAATTAAAATTAAAATGCCACCTACTCGTAAATATAGGTACTAGAAATACGCGCTCTGACGATGGTAAAACGAAATTTAATTTAAGGGCTAATTTAGGGGAACTTTTAAGCTAGGGATCCCATACGCAGGTGGTAGCTTAAGTGATGTTGGTGAAATCGGGTATATGTTAATGGAAAACTTTAACTCATTGTCACTTGCAGGAAAATGATATACATCCCGCTGAAATCGAAGCATTTGATGCCTCAATCAAGGTGATGTGTGGACGATGTGTGATTGACGAGTGGTTTTCATTAACATTTCCGTATTCTGTTAACCAGGAACATGCTGTATCATAATTGGCTAAAATCAGAAAAAAAAACTCTTTGTCTAAAATGGTCTCAAAATTATTACGTTCCTTATGATTGAGATATCGCATATTAATGAAAATAAAACTTACCAGCTTCAGTATTTTTTTCTATATTAATAATGTTTTTTTTTTCTATAGATCCATTACAAATGTAATAAAAATAATTTGTTTTTATTTGTTATTTATAGGAACTACAGGATATGCAAAATAGGCGTCATCAAGACAATTTTATGCCATCACAAAAAACAATAGTGCCTCTAAACAGATACGATGAAGCTGAGAAGATCATAGCCAAAGCATTATATACCTTCAATGGCCAAACTACAAGAGAACTTAGCTTTAGGAAAGGCGATATCATAAATGTTAGAAAACAAATAGATTCTAATTGGTACGAAGGTGAAGTGCATGGGAAAGTTGGATTATTCCCATATAATTATGTTGAGGTTTGTATTGTTTTTATGTAATTTATATTTGAACTATCGGATCGGGTAAACAGAAATCGATAAGTTGTCGAAAAAAAAATGTGGATCTTGATAACAGTGCTACTGCTCTATTAATTCATAAAAATCATCAAAATCGGTCAATTCATTTAGGAGAAGAAAAATTACTGCAACTCTCAAAACATCATAAATTGCTTTATCCTATAAATTAAACATAATAATTTTATAATTTTTTGACGACACGTTTGGCTCAGTTTGTAGTGACATTACTTGCTGTGCTAGCGGTCGCGGGTTCGAGTCCCGCTGGGGGCATTCATTTTTGTGATGAGCGCGAATGTTTGTACTCCAGTCATGGGTGTTTATATTGATAATATGTATGTATTTAAAGTTACATATATGTGTAGTGTATCAACTATCTGGTATCCATAACACAAGCTTCGTAGCTTACCATGGAACTAGATGGTGCCGTGTGTTAATGCCCCAACATATTTATTTATATTTATTTATAATATATAAAAAAATAGCACTGCCCTATTGAATAAAACTAAAATTAATTAAATTTATTTTGCATTCCAGTTACTTAAAGGCGATGGCGTTCAAACTCTCAAAAAGCCGACTGTTATTGAAGGTAGAGCTAGAGCGAAGTTCGATTTCACCGCACAAACTAACCTTGAACTTCCTTTAAAGAAGGGTGAAGTAGTAGTCTTGACGAGACGCATCGATCATAATTGGTGGGAAGGCAGAAATGGAAATAAAACCGGTATTTTCCCAGATAGCTATGTAACAATATTGCAAGAACCTAGTCAGAGTAAACCTGGTAAGTTTTGCATTTAAATATTATAGAAACCAATTAAACTATAGCTTTAAGCCCAAATATTACTGTGTAAGTTATTATTATTGAAAGGAAATATTTGTCAATCTACGAAACATTCTTTAATTAGTTTTTTTATTTACGTTTAAGGTTAAATATTGATTGTTAATCACGGGAATCGAATGCGCACAATCCACATAACTTCAGAAAAGAGAATATACTATCTTTTATTACGATGATTCTGATCAATCTTGAAATGTTATTTGTTTAAAATGTATAATCGTTATGGCGTCTTACTATATTAACAGACATCATAATTTTAGAACGACTTCACTGATTGAGTTCATACTCACACAATATTTTTTTAATTATGCGATTCATATTTATCAAAAAAAAACTACATAAAAATAAAAAAAAACAAATACTTAAATTAAGTTGAGTGCTAAAACATCACAAGATTTAGATAGGTGTCCCTGTTTTCGAATTATTAAACAAAATTTATATTCCGGAAACGTTTGCGTCATATTGAAAATATGTACATTTAGTTAACTAAATAGCTGAGTGAAATCTCTAGCATATCATACAATGATTGAAACACATGCATTTGACTTAATAGAAAATCTGTACTAAAATTATAAAGAGGCAGAGTTTGTTTGTTTAAATGCGCTAATCTCAGGTCCTACTAGTCCGATTTGAAAAATTATTTTCGAATTAGATAGCCCGTTTATTGAGGAAGGCTATATATCATCATCCAAGGGAGCAGAGCAGTAATCATAAATATCAACAAATCGGGCAGTCTTCCATACATTATTGTAAATCTGATGTTTATAATCAAACAAACTTAACGCGGATGAAATCGCGCGGCACAGCTAGTAGAACATAAATAAGATATAATAATAGACGACACGTTTGGCTCAGTTTGTTGTGATCCTATTTGCTGTGCCAGCGGTCGCGGGTTCGAGTCCCGCTGGGGGCGTTCATTTGTGTGATGAGCACGAATGTTTGCACTCCAGTCATGGGTGTTTATATTTATAATATGTATGTATTTAAAGTTATATATGTGTAGTGTATCAACTATCTGGTATCCATAACACAAGCCTCGTAGCTTACCATGGAACTAGATGGCGCTGTGTGATAATGTCCCAACATATTTATTTTATTTACTTTCAGAACCCCAACCCATCCTAAGCACGTCGAAGCCAGTGGCGTCTCCCGCGGCGCACGGGCTGCTCAACGGCGTGGACAAGCGCAGTATGGGTGCGCACCGCTACACGCCGCAACTCAACAGCCCCGCGCTCTCTAACGCACCACCTGCGGATATACCTCTACAAGGTGATAAATAAAACTATATAGAATGAAAACTATTAATCTATAGAATACTTATATACCATACAGAATTTATTTGTGTGCCAAGTTCCATTCTTTATCAATGAACAGTCAGTCATCATCAGTCTGAGTTTCGACCGTGATGTGTTTATTGGTAACGGTGTGTTTGAAGTGCGAAGATTCTCTGTATCTTTAATATTGTTATTTATCTCATACTTACAATTATAATAAATAAAAATTTATGAGTTCGAACATAAGTACAAATTTGATATTATATTATATAATTGAGGAAACCAAATAAAAAAAACGTAACTTATATGTACTTGAGACCCTCGGCTCGGGTGCATAATGCATCCCTTAGGTGCCTAACAGTCATAGTCTATATCTGTGAACTAAACATCGAAATCCGTCCAGCCGTTTCAGAGTAACACAAATACACATTCACAGAAAAAATCTTGCGCATTTATAATAGCAGTCTGATTTCTCGTTAGGTTATATAACAAAGTCGACGTCATCACTCTCTGCGTCGGAGCGCGGCTACGGCCCGCCGACGGGTGCCGGCGTGGACCTCAACAACACGGAGCCGCTATACGTAGACACCAACGCGGAAGCTGTGCCGTGAGTTGTACTAACTTATGATGTATTTAGCCCTTTTTTTTAACGTCCCACTGCTGGGCACGGGCCTTCCTTCAATACGAGGGGGATCAGGCCATAGACCACCATGCTGGCCAAGTGCGGGTTGGCGGACTACACATGTCTTTCGAAAACTTGCTAAGTTCTCTCAGACATGCAGGTTTCCTCACGATGTTTTCCTTCATCGTAAGACAAGTGGTAATCATGTTAGAAATGATTATAACTTATGATACTTGTAATAATTAGTTAATTAGCTTTTTAATATACCTACCTAATATTTAATTTCGAATATTCTCTCACTTGAGCATATATTTCGACTCGGAGTATTAAATTAAATAATATTATTTTTGTATTTTATCTTATTACTAATGACTATATGATATATCACACGTGAACCATTTCTATTCAAAAAAATGTTGATTCGTTAGTAAAAGAAGAAGAAACATAAAATCACATTAATTGGACATTTATATCAATAGATCCTCATGATAGGTTATAAAGCATTATGTATTTATTAATAAAACTTAAAAGGAAATTAAACTAGCTTTACCCGGCCATGGTATGAAAGTTTAAATATAAATATGTTTTTGATATCTACATATATTATGTACATATAAACAGACTAGGTTCGAACCATAGATTGAATAATTAAATATATTAGACAACCAAATTATTATTTTGTTTCAATTTAATCTAATTAATGATTAATTTTTACAGATATCGTGCAATGTACAAATATCGGCCACAAAATCCCGATGAATTAGAATTAAATGAAGGAGACACAGTCTACGTGTTAGAGAAGTGCGACGACGGCTGGTACGTGGGTTCGAGCCAAAGGACCGGACGATTCGGAACTTTCCCTGGTATATATTTTCAATAATAATTAATAGAAATTTTGTCATTGCTTTTAATAAGAATTTAACTAATTAAAAAACTTAATTGTAACTTTATTAATAAACTTTATTAGCTATCATAATAATATATCAAAATAAAAAATAAACAATTTTTAGAAAATGCTCCTTACATACTGAAAAAAATACAAATCACTAACGACTTACGAGTTCCTACGCATTGCTCGTATGTGGACTCAGATCATAACTTACTGTGTACTCAATTTCATTCAAATTCACCCAGCCGTTTCATCGTGAAGGTGTAACAAACATACACACAAACATAATAGTGGTTCGATGAAATTTACATACAAACATTTTTTTTCAGGTAACTACGTGGAGCGCATTTGATAGCGCCATACGCTGCTGCGGCGCCTCCGCAGCGCTGCGCTGTGCGCTCGACGCACGCGATAGATATCAGTCCCTCTCTAACATACGCTAACAGGATTTTACAGGAAAGAGATAGATATACCTCAGTCTTCAATTTGATAAATTCGATTCTCTAACTGTTAACTGCTTATTTTGAATTGAAATATAATCAAGTAAATGTATTTGAATATTACATTAAACTTAAATAATTAATAAATATTATATTAAATTTACTATAATCTATCTCTTTCTAGTATACTATAGGATATAGAAGGACAGATATTTTGTAATGCAGGGCTTACATTTAGTCAAATCCAAACGCTAAACAAACTGGGAATTGATAAAATTATTTTACTGGCTATAAATTCTAAATTGAAAAATGGTAGGTTCCAATAGATCTACAAGGTCTCTTACTCTTAATACATGGTAGACAATATTGTCTTGAGATTTGATTGTGTACTAACAATTAATAGGTATGTTTAATTAAATGTTACCAAAATGTAAACCATGACTTTTGTATCCTTTTATAGTATAAACGTTGTATATTAATCAAAAATATTATTCTACTTTAGTATATACTTTTTACAAATACTATAAAGGTCAATGATTTGTTTTGTCCGTTCAGAAACAAAAGATATATTATGTACCTAACACAGAAACCATCCCAAAGTTGTTTTGTGCGCCCAAAGAGTATTTATGGTGTTGTATAATTGTATAAAATAAAATTGTAAAGTCGTTTATTAGTTATAGTTATTTATTTACAAGTAGGGTGGGGCTCGAAGCTCTTCTTTTAAAAGTAAATTTTTAAAAGAATGCAGCCATGCACGATATACTAATCGTTTAATCAATATTTTTACCAGACATTAAAGGATCATATTATATCAAAAAATAAAAATTTATCGTACCTTTTCAAAGAAAATTGGAAATAGGCAAAAGTCAAGCTTTGAACTACATATATATTTATTCTCAATCTTTTATTATAAAATACAAAGTTTGGACATTTTGTACGTATTTGCAGTACCAGATCGTGAATCGACTAATAAGTGTATCGCTAACAATAAATATACTACTATTCATTAGCCACCGTGTTTTAATTAGTTACTGCATTAACTTAGACGTAACGTACAAGTAAATACTCATAATTATGCAAATTAATGTATATAGGGCGAGTAATATATTGACAACGTTGACAATACTATTTTGTATGCTTAATTAAAAATAAGATGTATCTAATATAAAGGAATTTTAATATATATAACTCAAAAATATATACAATATGATAGACGTAAATGTTTTGCTTGACTCTTGATTTTTTTTTAATATTAACTTAAGGCATAATTTCGCATTTCGATCTTCCCTTGTTATTATTACCAATCTAGTGTTACTCTCGCCCTATGTAATGCTTTATTTATAAACAATATTTTTTTTAACATATTGTTGTAGTTTTGTTAATTTATTTTTAAAGCACAAAAGTTTATTTGTTGACACCGACGTGGAATGTAACATTTACTACTATTGTTCAATGTCATCACATCTAATAATATAAACTTTCTATTAAACTTGTGTTTTATTTTCTATCTTCTTTGTTAATTTGTTTAAAATAGTAAATTTATGGTATAACATTATTTCGTCGGGAATTATAGTGATTGAACTCAACCATATAAGGTAAGAAGTGAGAGTCGGCTTTAATTAGGTGAATAAATTTAGGAAAAACGTTTTTGTTAATGTTTATTAGTATATAACATAATCCATTTAACAAATATAGTTTTTTTTAAGTTGGGCAATGCATTTAGGCGGTCCACCTGTATATAGGTGGTTATGTGGGACATACCGGCTAGAAAAGTTAATACTACCTACTAAAACCCAACGAAACCTTCTCCGTTTTAATAGAAACCACGAAGCCCCGCCGACAAGCCTTCCGAAACAGATCACAACAAACAATGAATTGCTAATTTTTCGGTTTTTTTTACACTTTTTTTTAATTTCTATTTTAACCCAACAAGAACAAAAATCTAAGAAATTATAATAATGAAAAATAAAATTATTAGATGATGACTAAACCATTATACGTTATAGCCATGCTAATGTTAATTTCTATGACGATACATAATAATATAGAGCATTTGGCAATGCGTATAATGCAATCTAGGAGTTCTGTAAATTGTTGTTGTTATATTATATTATCCCGTCCAAGTATTTTTACTGAACCTTAATTATTCCTTACTTAAGAAAGTATTTTCTTTAAGAAGTTTATATATCGATCCAAGTAGGTAAAACATATTTATTAAATAAAGTTAAATTAAAATCAGCATAGCTCATATTAATATTGTATGGCACAGACAAAAAATATCTGTGTAACTTTATTAAACGTGGAGGTCTGAACGATAGCTATTGTAGTAAGTTATTGAGAGGCATTCCAATTATTCTCCTTTTGTCGCATTTTATGTTGCTTAGCAACGTCTAACACAAACAAAACTGATCGTTATGCGTCACTAAAGTTGTGGCACAACAAAGTTTATAACATCAAACCACTGTAATTGATTTTATTTGCCATTCTAAAACATTTTTATACGACAGCTAAAAATGGAGACAGATTGGAGAGAAATATTGAATTTCTCACAAAAGGACTTAAAGCAAGCTGAAAAAGAAAAACTATGTGAAAGCTTATGTTGGATGGACACTGATGATATTGAACTAAACTTTTCTGACTTGAAAACTCTATTTAAACTTGCTCAAGATATTTTAAAGTATAAAACAGAACAAGTAAGTTTAAATTCTGTGAATCTTTTAAGGTTTTTGTTCACTAAATAACTAATTCTTCTATAATACCAATCCAATCTCTTTATGTTAATAGGTGAATAGTTTATTGGGGAAAGTAAAAAGAAAAATTAAAACTAAAGATAGAAGTACTATAACAGGTAAAGATAATATTTTACAAATTTTATCTTTTAAATAGAATATAAAGCGTTTAACATTAAAGAAAGGAAACAAGTAACAGCAACAATACTTTTCTCTTCGATAATATTATATTTTTTTCAGTATTGGCTTCTTTTCCATATAAAATTTTCAAATGAAACTCATTCTTCATTTTTTTAACTTAACTTAAAAAATATACAATTTTTAATATTCAAGTTTGATAGAGCCAAGACCACAAAGTATGATACCCTTTAGTGTGCAAACATTGGTTAACAATATGTATAAATATGATGTTCTCCTGACCGATTCCGGCCACGGCGCGGCGGCCAATCTCATTGAGACTAGCCAACTGCGTGGGAGATATTATAGTGCACAAGTGTACGGGCAGACACAACGTGCACTCTCTATTCCTATCACTTTCATACTCTGATGGGACGATCATATTGAACCTTTTATAATTAATTACATTTTATTTTTAATTATAATTTGAAAAATAAAATAATTTTTTAAAGATTCTTCCGCTATAAGTTCCGAGAGCGTAATAGAGGCAATAACGTACCAGGAGGAAGTAATTAAAGCAAACAAAGATATATTAGAACAATTGTATGCCGACATTGCTGAATTAGAAGGCCGGAAGAACAAATATGAAAAAATTAACTTTGAAGATCATAGTAGCGAATCAAGCCGAAATACATTATCGGAAATGAATGCTTTAGCGCAATTAGAAAATGAAATTTCTAAGAAAAATCGACATATAAGGAAACTTTTACAGGATGTTAAAGTGAGACTAAAACTGTACAAAATATCTCTGTTTAAAAAGTTCCAGTCATTTTTTGCAGATAAATGTTAAGTTTTTTTTAAATATTTGATACTAGCGTTTTCACGCGGCTGCGCACGCGTATTTCAATTATGTTTATATAATCTCTAATATGTATATCTATTATATTTAAAAATTATGGCCTATGTGTTACTCTGATGTATAAGGTATTTTACTGTAAAGTTTAATCAAAATCCGTTTAGAAGTTTTTGCGAGAAAGAGTAACAAGCATCCACCCATCCTCATAAACTTTCGCGCTTATAATATATTTATAAAATACCCTTTTTGAATAATTTATGACTTTAAATAAATTATAGATGCTATAATATAATCAACAATAAATTATCACCTCTAGAATTTAATAAATTAGAATATTATAGATTCTGGAAGAGGAAAACACTACTTTGAGAGAAAAATTAACAATTTTTAAAGAAAAATTAAAGGAATCTACATTTTTAATAGAAAATATAACTGAACAATTATTTACTCTTAATAAAGAAAACTCCAATTTAAAAGGTAACATCATAATAATCTTAAACTTTATAGCTCTTATCTATTACCTACTAGTGTTTTGCAATAAAGCTGAATTCAATATTTTCATGTAGAGCAATTGAGCTCTCTAAAATAGTAAAAATAAATTCATATTTTTAACCAAACTACAACTTAAGCAGAAATATTATCTTAAGCTATAAAATAACTTAAGCTTCTGCCAACTTATGAATGCTTTATGGAAGCTTTCTATACAGTTCGACATTAAGTATGGAAATATTCTACATATAATATGGTACATTTATTAATCTTAAATAATTTACAGAGGCTCTTGGCAGTATTGAGCAAGAAAAAGTAAACTTATTGATGGAAATTGATAATTTAAAAGCAGATTTACATAGCAAAGATGTTGAGTATGAAAAAGTAGGGGAAGATGTAAAACTGAAATTGCAACACTTAAAGGTCACTTAATGCTTTAATATGCATTATACAATTATATTTTTTTTAAGTTTATTTACTAAAATATTTTTTAAACTAATCTATTATTAAATATTATCTTACAGCACTCACTTAAATCTCATAAGATTGAAATAGAACGCTTATCACAAGAGAACTCAGAGTTAAGAGAAAGCCTCACTCACACGCCTAAATCAGTTTCATCGCCAAAAGTAAGGACATATTTAAGTTAATTTAATAAAAAAATCATTTTAAGGATTAAATTATAATATCATACTGATTGAAAATAGCGTGAAATGTTTTCAAATTATTTTTTCCAAACAATACACTTAATAATAATAAATACTTCTTACTTATTTATATAATCAAGCAAAAAACAACTCGAGAAGAATTAAAAATAAAAGAACTACAAGAGAAATTGACTGAAGCATCAGAACAAATGATACAGTCCGCAAATTTAATACAAGTATTAAAAAGTGAAAATAGACAGCTTAAAACGGTTATTGAGGAAATGCCTGACTCGATGTCGGAACAAAAGAATGTAAGTGATGACGGAAAAGAAAAACAAATGATAGTGAAACTTAGAAATAAAGTCCAAGATTTAAATGACGCGCTTCAACGTTCAGAACAAATGTTAACTAGAAGAGAAGAAGAGGTAAGAGGGGTTTTATTTGTTCGTTATTTATTTTTTAGTTAGGTAGTTAGTTCGTTATTTTCTGATATGAATAAGTGTACATAACTAAGACAAAAATCCGTGTATATTTTGAACATGTACATTATACAGTACAACAGATCCAATTGATAAAATATTTATTTGACTACATTCGATACTAAACTATACTAAATAAATAAATATGTTGGGACATTAACACAAAGCACCATCTAATTCCATGGTAAGCTACGAGGCTTGTGTTATGGATTCTAGATAGTTGATACACTATACATATATATCTTTAAATACATCCTATAAATAAATATAAAACCCATGGCTGGAGTACAAACATTCGTGCTTATCATACAAATCCCAGCGGAATTCGAAGCTCCGGAACAGCAAGTAGGCAATATAAACTGTTCATGTTCATGACTACTAACGTCCAAAGTTATGTTAAAGCTTGCAGAAATTGCTGGACAATTACAACTATTAAGATCGGATGAAGGTATAAACGCATTAATAGAAGGCATAAAAAATAAAAAAAGAGATTTGAGACTCAAAGATGAAAGTATTAAAAGTCTAGTGCAAGAAGTAAATCAACTAAGTGAACTTGTCAGCAACTTACAGATGGAGAATGAAACTATGAGGTAACAAAAACAAAAATATAATAACAAAGCAAAGCGTGCAAATTTTTATATATTCATTTTTATTTTAGAGAAAAACTTCAAATACCCATTGATGAAAAAATAGAAACAGGCGGTATTATAAAAAAAATTAAGGATTTAGAAAATGTAACAATAGAATTTTCTAAGAAAATACACGAATATGAAAATAAACTGATTACAGTTGAAATGGACAATCGTGAAAAAAACGAAACGATTTCAAAATTAAAAGCAATAATGAAAAAAGCAAATATTGACCAACACAGTTTTAAAGCTATTGAAATGAAGGATGAGTAAGTCATATTGCAATTTCATTTACATATATTAACTGTTATACACTTATACTTACATACCTATTACCTAATCTTAATATACATAAATCTCTTTTAGAGTTGATCAAAATATCATTGGAACTAACAAAATCTATAGCACTGAAAATATTCAAGTAATTATAGAAGAAAATGAAGGCCTTAGGAATGGTCTTACTGAGATATTAAACTTTTTGAAAGATAATAGTAAGTTAAGTCAAAAATATTTCAACTTGATGTTTTAAAATATACGTGCATGCCTATACAAAAGTTCTATGTACGATTATTAGGCAGTTCCAATACAATACAACTACTACAATTTTAAATTACCATTGGAATGGTAAATGGTTTTAAATTGGAATTTAAAAAAATGTATAAAGTATGTGCTATCTTCATTTTACTACTTTTTAGGTACTACAAGTTCTGGTGTACTTTCTTTGGAGTGCCCAAGTTTGGAAGCATTATTAAATTCAATGGAGGCACGTAAATCTGCAGGGTGGTTTTCACCACATATGAAAACAGTTATGGAATTAAAAGCTGCCCAAGGCGGTAAAGATGCTTTATTGCATGCGTTACATGAATCTAGGTAAGTACAATTTATAATTTTTGTGGGTCCAACCGTCTAAGTTCCTATATTCTTATGATGATGATTATGATGATGGTTTTCATTTCAGAAAGGAAACGTATCAAATATTGGAAAAATTAACAAAACAAGAGCAAAAAGCAATAGAACTGGAAAAAACTTTACAAGAACTAAAAACAATGACAACAACAAAAATACCTACAGAAGATAAAATTTCAAGCACCGCCGATATAAGTACTGGTGAATTTGGATCTTGGATGTTAAACGTAGATGAAAAGATCGACATAAAAGATCAAAATGATATACAAAATATAATCATGAAAGGAAATATTTTATTTGAAAGTCAATTTAAACAAGCTTTACAATACTTTGAAAATAAATTTACAAATCTTTATGATAAATTTACTTCCCTAGCAATAGCTACTTCGGATGAATTGAATAGTTATTCCATTAAAGAAGAACGTTATAAAGTAGAAATAGAAAATCTTAAATGTCAAATAGAAGATGATGATGACGATATTAGTAATCAATCACCTGGCTTAGTAAATGTATCTAAATCAGTCTTTTCTGATCGTAAATATGCATATTTAGAAGAATCCTATAAACAAATTAGAACAATGAACGAAAATATTAAAAATGAATTATTACAAATTAAAAAGGAAAAAATGATAGAAATGTCGACATACGAAAGAAAAATACAAAATTTAATAATATCTATTGTGACGCTCACAGATAAATTACGTAACTCAATTCCTGTGGAATTGTTTTTACAACAAAATGAAACTTTGAATGAAATTACTGTAAAATATAGAAATATGATAGAAGCAAAATATGCAAATAAGTATATTAAGTCAGAGGAATTATGTAAGCGTTTAGAAGAAGATAAATTGGATTTACTACGACGTTTTCATTGTGATATGCAAAATATTTGTAAGTATAAGTATTGAAATTGTTATTTTAAAATTAATTAATTATCCATATTAAATATAGGAAAAATAATGTTAAACAAATATTATTTCAGCAAAAAAGGAAACTTTAACTACAAATAAGATTCTAAATGATATTGAACAGTCAGTTCTTCAGCAACAGTTAAAGCAAATATGTTTTGAAGTTCAAAATAAAAATAATGAAATAGAGAAATTGCAAATGAAAATTATGGATTTACAAGTTACTCAGGCAGATCTCATGTAATTTGCTGATTGATCATTACTAATAAAAACATTAATTATTTTCTATTTTAATTCCTTGAGTTCTTTAATATTTTTCCAAAACTCATTGTATCCAAAGGTTTGTTTTGATTACCCAGCAGATTACATCCTGCCATAATCGAAATAAAAAAATATTTTCAGAAATAAGTCAGTTCATGCAGAGTCCAATGAGGATGTTATTTTTTTGAAAGAGCAAGTACAAAAGTTGGGTGAAGACAATATGATAATAAAAGAACAATATCAAGATGCGCAAAATCAGCTGGATGTTGTTACTTTACAGGTAAAAAAGTACATAATTAATTTTTATTTGATGAAAATATAAAATTTTAACCAAATTAAAAGGTACAGTGCTTCTTATCTGCCTAACTGTATAAGTACTATAAGGCACATTTTACATCGGTAGGATGGAGCGTATATTTGCAAAAATCTCGCATAATATGTAGGTTTTAGTTTTTTAGTAAAGTCAAAACTCGGTATTGAACGAGATACGTTCGATATCGATTGATAGCAAGGATTGAGATTCAACTTTTCCTAATTGGGCTATAAAAAATTACAGTGGTAATACTCGTAATATAGAATCATACTTTCCTAAAATACTGTTATTGGTGATTCTAGATTGGCAAATTATGATCTTATCATCTCATGTTTTCAGTTACAATCGCACCAGCAAAAAGAATTCAATAACGAAATAGAAATAAATATGTTAAGACATCAAATACTCGACTTGCAATCAATGGGTGATAATAAAGCAATTATAGCAAGGTACGTATTATCATCATTCAATACGGCTGATGTGAATAACATAATAATTAGTAATATTTTAAGAGTTTTTTTTTTTAATATGAAAAACAACTTATCTTCCTACAATATTAGATCTTCTTTAGAAGAAGGTTTAATTATCGTTCATAGCAAAAAACAAATATTTTCTTATAGAATAGCTAAAAATGATTCATTATTGGAATAAGGTTATTCAAATCATTTCCACTTTATCTTACTCTAATTTCTTTTTTTTTAATTTTTTTATTTAAGATTTTTATCTTACTATTCTTATAACTACATTCCAGACTGAGCGGTGAAGTTCTTCTTTCACAAATGCAAACTTCAGAAACCCAAGAAAGACTGGAAGCTCTTAAGATTACATTAAATAAAGAAAAGCAATTAAGAGCTGAGACGGAAGAAATATTGATGAACCGGCAAAATATATTCGACATGTATACTCTCAAATATGAGAAAAAGATTAGGTAAGTGTAATGAACATGTAACAGTTTCTTTATCGTGCAATTCTTACTAACTAAATAAGCAATTTCTATGCAAAAATCGCGTTATACACTGTTGCTGCATAGAAGAAAATTAAAACAAGAAACCAACAAATACACATTTATATTTACATTTTAGGAACCTAACGGAAACAATAGATATATTGAGACATCAATATCAAGGAAGCCTGCCACTAATTTCAATTGAGACTTTTGTAGATAAAGTAGAAGATATTTACAGAAAATCTTATGATATTGACGTAAAACTTAATGAAATAGAAGACTTGCGCTCAGATCTAATGACGAAACATACTATTTATAAACAAATATTAGATATCTCCTCCACAAAGTGCTTAGAAGAAGACGATACTTGTCCTCACAAATTAAAAAACATTATAACTGTAAGATATTATTATAAGCAAAATAGTTACTAATTTTTTTTATATTTTTATAAACAAAAATTATTTTAGGAGGAAACTCAAAAACTTCAAATGGACTATTATAATAAAAAACTGCTATCTTTTGACCAAAGTCATAAAAAGCTATTAGACCGTTGTAGTTTCCTAGAAAAAACATTACTACTGGTAAATCAAGGATTTAAAATAAATAGTTCACCAATAAATGGATACCGACAAAAAATGCACGAAAACAACGATATAAAAATAGAAGATATTAATTCAGATGATGACTCGAGCAGTGAAGGTAAAACTAGAGGTAGTAAATAATAGCAAAGCAATAGATATTAGTACTGGTACGCTTACTTAATTGATTAAAATATTTATTAATCGAACTTTATAATTTGATGCTCACTTTTAATTGATAACCCCGAAAACGTATTCATTAAAATGTTTAGAAAAAAAGGTACATTCAAATATATATTCAAATAATATATTGAGATAATTAAAAATCGTTTGTATATCATAGTTTATAAAGCGAATGTTTTGAGATTAAATGTGTTACAACTTGCAAGCAGGCATAAGCTACGCTTACTGTTTACTACGGCTACATGCGTAAGCAAGCACTTTTATGGTATAAAAGCTGTAAATTTATATTAATATATTTCGTTGATTTTTAGGGAACCGTACGATTACATTATCTCATCCTAAAACAGATGTAAAACTGTTAAAGAAAAACATTGGATCTAATAATCACGATAATGGTGATCAAGAACAATATATAACAGAAACAAAAAAAGTTACAAATCGTCACACACAAACTATAAATATTGTAATTAATAGCGACTTTAAATTCACACAAACTGATATTGATTTAAATGTTAAGGAACTAGAGTCTCAAAATGATAAACTTTTGTGTGATATAAAACAAAAAGAAAAAATAATTGAAGAATTATCTGCAACTTTCAAACAATATAAACAGAACTTTGAACAATTAAGTGAAGAAAAACATGATCTCAATACAACAATACGAAGCTTAAAACATTCTAATTCGTGTAAAGAAGAATCACTTAAGAAATTAGGGTCCATAAATGATGTATTAAAAGAAGAGATACATGGATTAAAGTTAAAACAACAAGCCGAAATTAATAGATTAAATGATACAGTGAGTTCAGAAAATCAGTCTCTCTTAGTTGAACTGAAAAAAATAGAAAGTGACAAGAACGAAATTATAGTAAAATATAAACAATTATTAAATAAAGAACGGAACGATTACTCTAAATCCTTAAAGGACTTGCAAATGAAACTGAAAGATTTGCAAAGTAAATTAGATCAGTAAGCATTTATTATTTGTTTATTTTAATCAGGCATCATGTAGCTTAATATTTTGTTAAAATATATTATTATAATTATTAAAATATATTGTTGCAAAATCATTTAAATTATTAAACAATATGGTAAGTAAGTACTTTATATAAACAGAAATATATTCATTAAGCATCTCAAATCGAGAGCAGTTTAAGCTATAGTTTTCGTTCAATTAATTTTTTAATAAAAAAATTAAGTAATCAATCATACACGCCTCTTTAAGATAAAAATGACGTTATCTATTCTAGACTGAAGCTTATATAAATGCATTGATCAATTATGTATTTATTACAGGAAGGAATCTGAAGTGACTAACACAAGTGATGATGTAAAAGAAACAACCAATAAATACACATTAAAAATTTGTGAATTAGAAGACAAGTGTTTTAAATTGAGTAGTGAATTAAGTTCGTATGAGGCAGAATTGTTAGTATTTGTTAAATATTAAAGAAATTTAACTGGCAAATCAAACTCATTATTTATTAATGTGGTTAAAAATTTTAATGCTTACAGTAAAAGTCAACAAAGTGAAATGGAACGCTGGAAAAATTTGGCTTCAGAAAGGCTGATTAAGATGGAACAACTAAGTGCTCAAATTAAGGAAAGGCATAATCATGAGGTTAGTATAGTAAAAAGCGAACTGAAAATATGAGAACTAGTTGGACAAAAACATATAAAATCGGAGACAGACAAGTCTTGCTACGTGTATGTAATATGTTAAATTATATTTGACAAAAAAATATTTGAAGTTTCAAGAACAATGCAATTAGATCATTAGAAATTATATTTAAAAAAAATAATTGATTTAGAGAGCTGATTACAATTTTTACGTTAAATCTTAAAATTACATCAGATGGAATCCTACAAAGCAGAAAACCAACATTGGATATCACAACTGAATGAAACTCAACGTGAACATATGGAGCTGCGAGCCCGTCTCACCGAACAGAAGACCTTACATTTGAAGCAGTTGGCAGAAAAGGACGGTCATATTGAACAACTACGGTCTGTTATCAACAATCTGAAGGTATTAACTTATTTTTATATCATGGTTTTATATCATTTAACAGTCGAATTTTCAAGTAGGTACTTAACACTTTTCATGTCAACGTTATAAACATGAAGAACAGACAAGGAGTCCAATCTCAATAAGGTTTCATATGAGAAATTCGTTCGCAAAATTTTTTAGAGCTATAATTTCAGAAAGTGCCACGATTCGCACTGATTTACGTAGTTACCAGGTGAATTTAGGTGTATGTTAGTAGCGCGAAGTTAGTGATAAACGTAATAAACAAATCAGCCAGAATTTCCATCTCTCTTTTGGGACATAACGTTCGCAGCGCTCTCTGCACGTCTACTATATTTTTTTCAAATTTTTAGGACTACTTTCATATACAGAGATTTGAGTCCTTGTCTACAGTCTTCATTTTTATTTCAGTTATATTTTTTTTTCAGTTATAAATATACTCGTATTGTAAAAATAAATGCTTACAACATTTATGCTGTCGAACCAGCGTTATTTGCTGAAATTTATAAATACCTGTAATAAACACAGAGATTTAACTTTTATCACAAATATAGTTTAATACACACTATTTCAATCCTATTACCAAATACGTTTCTACTATTTATTAATTTAAGATTTATACGTGTAATTATTCAACTTCCAGTCCCAAATCTTAAACATGCAAACAATGCTCACTATAAATGATCCAAGTTTTGATCTCTCCGCTATTGTCGAAGTGGAGGAAGTGAGTGACCAACAATCTGATAGATTGGAATTAAAGTGTGAATCCTCAGTAGACTTCAATGAGAGCCACGACGATTTGATGCGAATGCCTTGCAGTTCTACTGCTATTTGGTATGTATAAAAAATCGTTGTGACCAAATGACATATGTTATCATTATCGTCGGTGCTGTGCAACGTTCAATGACTATATTTTTTTTACATTTTTTATATGTCCTATTATGACTTGTTTTTTAACTTACCTTAGTAAGATGCCTTGAAGCATTTTAAAAAGTGGTAATCATAAAAACCACAAAATCCTTTTTGTTGCTTAGTTCATTAGTGTTGTGATACTGAAATAATCTTAAATATGCTTAAGGCAAGAGCCAGCGGTAGACAGACTTCGTAGGGAGAAGCAATTGATGAGTAAACAGAATGCGATGCTGCGACGACAGATTAAAGCTCTTGCCGCGAGAGAGAGACGCTCGAGGCTTGATGCACAAAACTTGAAGAATCAAGTATTTCGCATGTAAGCTGTAATATACATAGTGTATATTATTTATTTTATTTCAGTTACATTCAAAAAAATGTAATAGATAATACGGTAGCTAGTAGTAATTTCTTTATTGTTTTGTAATTGATTTGGATATTGTATATTATTTTGCACTGATTTTCACCTATTCCTTCATAAAGGAAAAGGTACCGCCACTACTAAATCTATACATGTAATAAAATTCTAAGTCGAATCTGTACATTAAATATTTTTTGGAAAATCTAACTGAAATAGACATTATTATCGATACAGAGTCCGAATCTATAGTTTTTAGAATTTTATCTGTCTGTCTGTCTGTCTGTCTGTTACCGCATCACGAGAAAACCACTGGACAGAATTTGATGAAGTTTGGTATGATGATAGCTGGTTATCCGGGTCAACATATAGGATACTTTTTACCGCAGAAAATATCTCATTTCTGGGAAAAAATACAAAAACTGCATTGAAAGAGTATACTAATATGTGAAACCTAAGAATTTGGTTTTTGGTCATCTGAACGCGGGCGGAGCCGCGGGCAATGCTAGTTCAATATATATTTAGAAAAAAGCTTTACACACATACCTGCTCTAAAACTAAGTACATATATTTAGAATATTAACATAATACCATAATATCGTAATTCATATATCAATGTGCAGAAGTACAAGTGGCAACAAAGTGCCGTCAGCGGAGTCGGCGGCTTTACAGAGCAAGGTGGCGACGCTCCAGGCGCAGCTTGCGGGCGCTCGCCGCGACGCTACCTCGTCACTTGCGCTTTGGGATAAGTGTAAGAGGTAAGTTTTGCGACATCGACTATTATGCTAAACTAGAGAGTTATCTTGCTTGGGTCGGTCCTTTGTTGGTAGGTTTGTGGCGAAACACAGTTTTTATATGTTGTTGCGTTTCGCCCGTTTAAAAAGAAGAAAAAGTTAAGTTGACATTTCGTCATGTAAAATTAGATATTACATTTTACTCATTATTAAACTGATGTAAATATCTCTATTGGAATTGGTTTTAATTTCTCCCATACTCCAATGGTTGTTATAGGTTTCTGACTTTAATTAATTTTTATATGATTAGTGACATCAAACACATTTTATCGGAATAAAAAATAGCCAACAGCACTCGGCGGTAATGCGGATTAGTGGTTTCAGAGACTATATATCTCTTTATAATATATGTATATGTTGATTTCTTTGTAACTCTACATTTTTCCCTTGAGACACAATTAAATAGGCATTAGTAAAATCTCATTCTATGTAGAGAACACAGAAATCTAATGGAAAGCTTTTAAACGCTGCAGAAGTTTAAACACGCAGTGCTAAGGTTTAAAAGAGATTTTTTCTGTCAAGAAATTCTGTCCATAGCGCAGATTTTGGCATCTTTGTTTTAGGAATCTAAGTTAGACCCCCTGATAAGTGACAATAATAGATATGAATGCTACTATATTTATCAAATTAACATGAATAGTTTAAAACTTATATGAAACAAATAATAATTACATAATTGCAGGGCACAGCAAGCTTCTGAGCGATGGCAAGTACGCTATGAGGAAAAATGCCAGGACGTCAATAAGTTAGAAGCGAGTCTCAATCTCGCCAAGTCAGCCATATCCAGACTTGAAAAGGAAAAACGAATTCTTATATCACGACTTAATGACGAAAAACGTAAGTTTGTCTAAAACTAATTGTTATAAAAAAGTTGCATATTTAAATAACAATTTCTCGCAATAAATATATATAATCACCTGTATTTATTACCACTAATATACGTGCATTTTCATAGATTTATAACAGCATTATTATATGTTTTGTTGAATATTAATTATAATTATTATTATTTTGGTATAAAAGTCATAAAACCTACACATGTTATAATCTCCACTTATACATATATAAAACAGAAGAGAAGAAACTAGCTGTAGAAAAGCACGACGTAGAAGAATCAGAGAAGGAGATAGACGGAGACGTACACAGTGCCCGCACTGATGTGGCGGTGTCAGAGCGCGCTCTATACGCCCGCGTCGAGGCACAGCAGCGTAGGATTGTCGCGTTAGAGCTCGCTGAACGGGTCAGTTAAAAGGAGATATATCTTAATATATATAATTCTTCTGTACGTGTGTTTGTCACCTTACTTCTCCTAAACGGCTGGACTGATTTGAATGAAATTTTGTATTTATATTTCAATGGGCTCCTGGATGGTTTGAAAACACAATTGGACCCGGTAGGTGGCGCTGCAGTCGGTGTGTCAAAGAGTTTGTTTTTTAGTAGTTTAAAGGCAAGCGAAGCCGCGGGTACTGCTAGTGTATAATATAGATCTTATTTTGAAGTAGCTTCTACCATCAACTTCACCTGGATATTTTATAATAATCCAATAAATGTGAGAGGAATTAGATTATTATGTTTACAGCAACAACACCTCTATTGAATTCATCTAAACTATCTAACCTTCAGTAATATACACGCAAAGATATAGACGAAAAACCCAAAAATGTTAACATTATTGATTTTTACGTAGAGCTATTTTTTTTATTCCTTTAAATGAAATGTTTTGTTCTCCATTATAAAATAAACGTTTTTATTTCTTTACTGTTTAGGGTAATGAAACTTTGGTAACTGAATATGAGAAGTCTCTCGCAGAAATTACAGCGCTCAAAGGACAAGTACTTAAACTAGAGTCAACCTTGCTTGAAGCTCAAATTAAATCACCACTAAAGAACTCTGATGTGTCGCCAGAACTGGAATATTGGAAGAAGTAAGTTTATTTACAAACTATACTGTAATGAATAATAAGTATTATAATAATATAATTTATATAGTATACAGTTAACAATGGTTTAATATTATTTGAATTAATTTAGCCAAGGCAACATAGTGTACTTAAGTGTATAAGCTCTAAAGTTGACATTACATAATACCTAAAAACTACATACATTAACGAATCAGCTATTATAAATAATAAATATTTTTTTGTATTTTTATATAAAAAATATATTTCCTATCAGCTACTGTGACATGCTAAAAGAGGAGAACATGCAGCTGTCAGTGCGAGTGAGTGCGATAGAGAGTAGTGCAGACGCAGGGGCGGGGGCGGGCGCGGAGCCGCATCGCGTCGCGCGACTGCAACATACCGTGCTCACGCTCAGAGGTCGGGTTCATAGTTCACATGTTATTTGTATTTATGTATTCAGCCATCTTTTTAACGTCCCTTCTGGCCCGTGGGCCTCCCTTCAATAGGAGAGGGATCAAGGTATGGCCTTATCCACGCTCCACCATGTTGGCCAAATGCGTCTTGGCAGACTTTACATGTCTTTCAAAATCTTCATTTTTCCTCACGATATTTTCCTTCACCGAAAGGCAAGTGGTAAACCATGAAAATGAAAATATTGGAAGTACGAGATTGGGATTGGACCAATAGACTACTACTATCTCATGTTTTTTACCTTTACAAAACAAACATTTAGGTAACAACACGGATAAATTTTGAGTAATAAAAAACAATAGAATAGTATCTATAATTTCAAGAGAACTGACTCATTTATATTATATTTAATTTTCAGCTTTAGTTAGCAAGCTTCAAGCTGAACAGAAAACTTTGAATGCACAGAAACGCGCCGATTCAAGACCCAGTAGCGCTAAAAGCGGAAATGACAAAGTACAAACACATTTTTGTATAATATATTTAACAATGTTAATTGTTGTCAATATCTGTTGGTCTTCTTTCTTTATAATTTAATCTAATATATTATGAAAACATCAATTAGATAGATTTTTTTATCAATAGCTATATGAATTTAGTTAGATTGTGATTCTGAAAAAGCGGTTATTTATTATATAAAAATTTGTTAAGTATATTATTCTGTATTACAGATACGAAACCACGAAGAATCACGAAGTATTAAAATTTTCAATCTCAAAAAAAGTATTTCCGAAAAAGATGAGCTTCTGCAAAAATCTAAGGAAATGTTGAACATGGCGATGGAGAAAAACGAGCGACTTGCCAGAGAGGTAACAAATATGTGTTTTGAATTTATAAATAAATATGAAAATATAAGAAATTCGCACATCATAATCAACTAGGGAATCATTTAAAAAAATAAACACGTGTACGTTAAAGCAGCTTAAGTAAGATTTATAAAAAATTATTTCTTTATTTTAGAATATGTTTCTACGTCGACGTTTAGAAGAACTTACGGATTGACTTAAAAGGATAAATAAAAGAAGGAATATAACTTCAAAACATTTAACATATATTCACAATATACTAATTATAAATATGTACATCACATATATTAATAAAATTTGCTAAAATACCTAATATGCATGTTTTATTTAATTTTAGATAATTTTAATTAGGCAAAAATGCGATTGGTACGATTTTTTCGCCAATATTTCAAAACCAAAATATATAAGACCTTAATATAGCTAAATATTGTAATACGTTTTGTTAGATATGTTTGATAAATACATCAAAGATGATTATAGGGGTGGTATCGGAATGTCACGTTCACGAGTTTTATTATAAAAATAATTATGATATTATTTTGCCATTGGATTGATATTATTTTTAAACGAACGGATACTTATTACTTATGTATATAATTTATTTTTTCTACAATATAGCTGTTTATTGCGTTAAGGTGTATTATTGCTTGAATAGACTTAGCGATGCGAGTGAAAGGAAACAAGCGTGTGTATCGTACTGCGTTTAATTTGCAACTAACTCATAAGATATATTTACAATATGTAGATATAAGAGCGTAATTCTAATACATTAGTTAAACATACCGCCCACCAAAACTAACAGTTTTCAAATAAACAATAAATAACAAATTACGAATACATGCAAAAAAAAAAACTATAACTTCATCTATAATAATTTCCTTACTTCAATAAATTTTAAATAATTAGTAAATAAGCTTTAAAGACTGTAAAACATCATTAATCTATGTAAATAAGTTTATATAATACTAACAAAGTAAAAGTTGATTTGTACAGATTGAAAACATTACATATATGCAAATTATAAAAGTTTTGTGTAAATTAAAAACACAGTTTATAAATATATGTATACCTCAATAAATCAATAAACAAATAATTATGGAAAATGAGCCGCCCACCATTCAGTATATATAATTAATCGTCTTCATTTATTGGCAATGGTATGAGTTTAAAAACAGGTCTTTTTATTTCTTTGTTGCCTTTGCATTGTAATGTCACAACTCTGACTAATTTATCAGAACCTGGATGAAGTGCCGTTATTCTTCCCAGTAGCCATTTTGTTGGGGGCATATCAGTTTCTTTAATAATAACAATATCTCCTATATTAGGTGTGTCCACTGGTACTTGCCATTTATATCTTTGTTGTAATGTATTAAGATATTCTACATGCCAGCGTTTCCAGAAGTCCTGTGTCATTTTCTGAATTACCTGCCAACGCGTCAATAGGTTGATTTTCTTGCCTTCATATACCTCATCCGGAACACCAATTAAAGGCTCTCCAATAAGAAAATGAGATGGTGTTAATGGTGTCAAAGTTTCCACAGTATTGTCAAGTTTACAGAGCGGACGTGAATTGAGACATGCTTCAATTTGTGCGAGCAAGGTGGACATTTCTTCATATGTTAGCTTCGAGTTACTATTGACTCGTGAAAGATGACGTTTTACAGACCGAATCCCAGCTTCCCATAAACCACCGTAGCTTGGCATCTTGGGAGGTATAAAATGCCAAGTTGTTCCATCGTTGGCTAAAATTTCTGCGATATTAATTGGGTCATTGCGCTTGCTTCTTTCGAATAGTTGTTTAAGTTCCTTGGCGGCACCAACGAAATTGGTGCCGTTGTCACTCCAAATGTGAGCGCAATGACCACGGCGTGCAACAAATCGTCGAAACGCTGCAATAAAGGCCTGAGAAGTCAAATCAGTTACTAATTCTAGATGAACAGCGCGTGTGGCCATACACACAAATAAACATATATAGCCTTTAGTGCATTGGTGACCACGGCCCTTTGATGTCCGTATGAATATAGGACCCGCGAAATCAACTCCACTATTTAGGAAAGGGCGATGTGGCGTTACTCTCTCTGCTGGTAGTTGTCCCATAAGTTGATATTTAACCTTTGCTTTATCAATGATGCATATCTTACATTTACGTACATATTTTTTTAACGACGCTTTTAAACCTATTACCCAATATCGACTTCGAATGTATGTCATCATCAATTGTATTCCACCATGTAATGTCTTGATATGAGCTTCTTTTATAATAAGTTGCGTTATATGAACCTTATCAGGTATTATAATAGGATGCTTTGCGAACTCAGACATCTCAGAATTTTGTAATCGTCCTCCAACTCTCATTAAGCCATTTGCATCTAGAAACGGTGAGAGTGAGACTAGTGAACTTCCTTTTTTAACTCTTTTAATTCTTTTTAAATCTTCTAATTCATTGTGATAAACTTCGCCTTGATAAAATCTAATACAACTGTAAATAATTCCTTCCATTTCTAAATACGTTAAAATCTCTGATCTTCTTTCTATATGCTTCTGTTTTTTCCATCTTTTACAATAGGCTAAAACTCTTTTCATTCTTGACATAGACGAAAATCTTTCCCAAATTGGTTTAGTAGTAACATGAGTGTGACATAAAGCTTTCATTTCTAAATTAGTATATGGAATCATGATTCTCTTTAAAGTTACTTCTTCGTTCTTCAACCACTTCGGACCTTGCCACCATAAATTATTGTCATACAAATCACATGCGTTAATACCCCTGGTAGCAAGATCTGCTGGATTTTCGTTAGATTGAACGTGACTCCATCTATCACAATCTAAAATTCGTAGGATCTCAGTTACTCTGTTTGCAACAAATATTCGCAACCTGTTGGACTGATGTTGCAGCCATGATAAAACCACCATTGAATCGGTGTAAGCGAATATTTTATCCTTTGATAAATCGAATAAACCAGCAATATCATTTATTAATTCTGCTAACAAAACTGCACCACAAAGCTCTAATCTCGGAACAGTTAATTGTTTCAGAGGTGCCACCTTTGTTCTGCTCGCAATCAAGGTAATGTATATCTTGTTATTCTTATCCTTGACCCTTAGGTAAACCAATGCTGCGTAGGATGTAGAAGAGGCGTCAGAAAACCCATGAAGTTGGACATCCGTGTTATTTGGTGACAACTTTAACCATCGTGGAATAGAAATCCTTTGCAGGTAAGTGAGTCCCCTTCTATATTCTATCCATTCCTCTTTCAGGTCCGTAGGTAATTCATCATCCCAACCAAGGTCACACAGCCACAGCTTTTGTATCATAATTTTTGCAGATATAATTACAGGTGACAACCAGCCGAACGGATCAAAAAGACGAGCTACGTCGGACAAAATGGATCTCTTCGTTATTGGAGTCGTCAATTCAGGTAAATTTACTGTAAATTTAAAATTATCATCTTTTCTATCCCATGACAATCCTAATATCTTTATGACTTTATCTAGCTTTATTTCTATATTTTCCATTAAATGCTCTTTTCCATTTTGTAAATATTCTAATAATTCTTCATTGTTACTTGACCATTTTTGCATTTTAAATCCTCCTTTATCTAATATTTTCTCTATTATTTTACAGGTATCTTTCGCTTCATCTAATTCATTTAGGCTCACCATAAGATCATCCATGTAGAAACAATTATTTATGATATATGATGCATTTGGATGTTGTTTAGCTAATTCTTCGTCAATTGTGAGTTGTTTTAATGTTCTAACAGCTAAATAAGGGGCTGCTGCTGTTCCAAATGTAACCGTTTTTAATTTGTAACTTTCAATAGGTTTATCGGGATTATCACGCCATACTATGCATTGTAAATTCGAGTGCTCTTCGTTTATTTTTATCATTCTATACATTTTGACAATGTCTCCGACCATACATATTTTATATTTCCTCCAACAAATAATAAGACTACGAAGGTCAGGCTGAAGGACAGGTCCCACCATCATCATGTCGTTCAACGAGTAGCCATTTGTACCCTTTGCAGATGCATCATATACAACTCGAACCTTCGTAGTATCTTTGTCCTCGCGAATAACAGCATGATGGGGTAAGTAAATAGTATAATCTTCTTTAGTTTCAATTTTCTGCAGATGATTCATATCTAGGTATTCTTGTATAACCTTTGTATATTCTTCTTTTAGATTTGGATTTTTCTCAAACTTCCGTTCTAAGTATTTAAATCTAGTCACAGCTTGCTCTTTAGTATCTCCACATAGTTTAACTGTTTCTTCTAGATTTTGCTTCAAAGGTAATTCTACGACATATCTTCCACTTTCTTCTCGTTTGGTAGTTTTAGCGTATATTTCTTCACAGGCTTGTTCTTCTTTTGTAAATATTCGTTTTTTTGTGTAACTCTCCGTTTCTATCTCCCAAAATCTTCTCAACAAATCATTATCTTCTGCAACCATTCTAGTAATATGTAAGCTTGTTATTCTTTTTTCTTTAGTCGATTGTGTTATATTCTTCTTTCCAGATAGAATCCATCCTAAGGTAGTCTGTTGTGCAATTAAGCCATCTGGCATCCTTTGTAATCCGACTTCTATTATTTCAGGATAGACGTCGGCTCCAAGCAAAATATCTATCTTACTTGGCTTAGCAAATGTAGGATCAGCCAGTGTTAGTGTGTTGAGATGTGTCCTGTTTGTTACAAATTCTCTCGAAGGAACAGTCGATATAGTTTTCATAACATAAGCTCTAACATGAAACGTTGAGGCTGCGTTGCATCTTGAATTTATGGATAAATTTACAACATGCTTAACTGGTAGCTTAGTGCTCTCTCCAACCCCTGTAACTAAGCCACTAACCTTTGACTTCTTTAGCCCCAACAAATCAACTACTCTCGATGTAACAAATGATGCCTCTGAGCCTTGGTCAATGAGTGCACGGAAGACGTGTGATTCTCCAGAGCTCGATAAAACATCTACCAATGCAGTTGCGAGTAATACTTCTTGACCAAACTCTTCTTCTCTCGAGTAGTGCGTAGCTATCAATCTTTCGACTTCTCCTGTATTCTCTGGTTTGCTGTTACTGGTTGCCGCGTAATCGTAATAGTGTGTGATGCCTTCTCTTACATATTCTGCATGATGTGCGTTGTCGGCATTGAAAAACATTATGATTGGGTATGAGGCAGTTAAAGCATAGTTTATTCTTCTGTACAAAATTCTGACGTTCTTCAATAACTAAATTTAAGAATTTTTTACAGCTATGTATATAATGATCACCACTACATAATGAACATTTCATGAATAGCAATATGAGTGTGTATTCTGTCTCTAGTTGTAGACGTCAATGGAGATATTAATTCTAGAGTTCGAAATTTAGACTCCAAAAACATACGTAGCTGTTTGTTGGTAATTCGTCGTGCCTCTCCGTGCGGTATGCAGTCTCTTCCCACTTCAAACAGCAAGCTTTATGTTTTATATACATATATTACAACAAATTATAGTCTGTGTAATATAATTATACAATATGTTATGTAGGTTTATCATAATATTTTGTCATATTTTTAAATAAAAACTAAAATATAAACGATATATTTATTATATGTCAATAAAAAATTAAAAACCAACTACCAATGTAATTGCCAAATATTATCTTCTTTGAATTTAAAATTACTACTTAATATTAACTTTCCATTAATATGAACCATACATTTTATCTAATCATTCAAATTTCCATATAAATATAGTCTAGCTATTAGCTAACGAATTTCTTAAAAGTTTTGATATGGCAACATTATTAAGCTGTCAAATGTCAAAGGCAAAGGTGTGTTCCTTAAATTAATTTCGCAAACAACTTTATTATACAAATTAATTTTTGTTAATACAAAAAATACTAAAGTATCGAAACATTTTTCTTTTACTGTAGTTAGCAATACCACATAAAGATTTATTGAATTTGCCGCGTTTTCTCAGGTCACGCTTTCGTTAGCCAGACTAATATTATATATTCCATAATATACATATACATATTTATAGTACATAAATGGTATAAAGTGTTATTTCATCATATTAAAACTGTGATACTATAGTTAATTTAGTTGTAAATTACTAAATTATAATCATGGCAGTGTATAAAAAAAATTATATTACCCTCGTCCATTTTATAAGTACATGCATTAAGTATCTGTCGATTCGAGCAAATATAATATGTATACAAACTTTTATATTATAAAGGCCTTTTTGGAAAATAATATGTTACATTATATTATGCTATCACAACATTACTATAAAAACTTTTATGTTATTGTCTATATCCTTAAGTGTGCTCTACACATAACAAATTACATATTTTTCTGTGACTGTTATAGTTTATGGCAAAATTATACAAATCACAACTTAACTAAGCCAAAAAATAAAAATATTATATTAATTGTACTACGCTTCTTAGTAACAGTCCTTATTAAAAATGTATAATGTAGAGAAAAATAATTCTATAATTATAATTTTATCTCTATTAGGTATAGCAGGAACTTCAATCTTGGACATTTTGCTTCAAAAGTTCACACTGAAACATATGAAAAATGACATAGTTAATATTTATGTGATTAAGGTATTTCGTTTTCATATTTATGTACAGGTTTAGGTTATCGAAAATGAAATAATTAATTCAAATATATTTCATCATATTAAAATTATCCAATTTCTTATACAAAGCTGCTATAAACAAAAATTATAATAATCCAAATTTCAAACTCCAAATGACAATTTATTGTAAACCTTTCAATAATTAATTTAAATAAAAAAAGGTAAGCTTACACAAACATCAATTTATAATGTAATAAAAATACCAACCTTAATTTGGCAAGTAATAAAAACCCATAGAAGCGGGTACGCAATCAGTGTGCAATGTGGGTGTCCATCTAGAAATAAATTAACTAATGAACTCTACTAAGATGATGATTCTAGTGATGCAAGCGTGATCGGAAAAATATATTACATATTTACATAGATATTAATGGTAGATGGTTTTTATAACTTTCTTTAGATGGGACTCTAGTTGTCGACCCCAAAACGACATAACTCTAGCAAACAAAAAAATTAAACTCAGCCCAAAATGACTTACGTCTTAGATACGTTTTGCATTATTACAATATAGTGAACATTTAAATTAACTAATACATGATTCATGGTTAAAAATCAATTAATCACTTTAAATTATATCTATATAAATAAATTGAATATATATGCTTAGTATAATTTTTGTTTAATTTATTCTAATAAAAAAATTGTACACAAATTTAATCCTTTGCCATACCATGAGGAATACTTTTACGCTGATAGTTTTGATGTATGTTTTTATGTAATTGTAGGTCACGGTCAATCGGTCATGACAAGATTGCTTCGTAGTTTATAGTATATTATACACTATTTTTGTTTCATATACATTATCAATATTTATTAAATAATAAAATATATACGTAATTTTTCCACAACAACGTAACCATTTCGTAATGGACTAAGATCCCGCTGCAAGATTGCTACGTTCATAGCGTATTTAATCGAAATCAATTTTTTATATACAATAATAAAAGAGACAATAAGTTTTGACCGGGGTGCCTATTCAAATGTGCCCGCTAGTATGTTTAATTACCATGGCAACAAACAGTTAACTAACGCGCTAACTCTCTTTCACTTTAATCTATCTTTGCCGACTCCGACCGAGTATGTTAAAACTTTGAAGAAGAAAGGAAAATATTATAGAAAGCATCGAAACATAGTAATAATGTAAGTATCATTAATATTAATGCTGCTAACAAAAATAAATGATTACGAATGAAAAAAATAAAAATTCGTTTAGGTGTATCGTAATTAAAAACGGTACATATTAATAACGATACGATATGGACAAATAAGCACTATTGTATATTATTTATACATATAATAAAATTGTAACTAATCCGAATCTGTACATTAAATATTTTTTGGAAAATCTTATTGAAATAAACATTATTAACGATACAGAGTCTGAATCTATAGTTTTTAGAATTTTTGTCTGTCTGTCTGTTACCGCACCACAGAAAAACCACTGGAGGGATTTTGATGAAATTTGGTATGGTGATAGCTGGTTATCGGGTCAATATATAGAATACTTTTTAACGCGGGAAAATGTCTCATTTCTGAGAAAAAAAAACAAAAAGTGCAGTGTAAGAGTATACTAATATGTAAAACCTAAGAATTTGGCTTTTGGTCACCTGAACGCGGGCGGAGCCGCGGGCAATGCTAGTATGTATTATATAGTAGGACCAAAGATTATATTAAGCATGTAATATGCATACATCGTCACTAAAACGATAAACGGGATTACGAAGTCGGATATTCTATGTGAAAGGCATGACCATGACATCTTTGTATTTCATAACTTATCTGCTTTCATAAGTTAGGTTTTTTAAACTAACAACATTAGTTATTATATTTTTTTAGAGGTTCTCGATTAAAGTTACTGTAGAAAACTTTTACATTTAAATTTTAAAATAGTTAATTTGTTACACATTTAAATTATTACTATTTATTATTTCTTATTTCCTTATATTAGTTATAAAATTTTGCTAATATGTATGAAAAACAAACATGGCTTTTTTTGTATATTTCACTTAAAACTAACCCACTTATACTATTTATTTCCAAAAGCTACCAGACTACAGACGTTTTTTGGCCGATACTTTGGTAAGATTTGTAAGCAGTTTGACGCACACCAACATCGATTTGATATCAGCTGACTAAAGAATTAGATGGATCTTAACTAAATTCTTAGCTTAAAAACTCCTTTTACGCAGGTACACTCGCCGATAGATTAGTCCGCCATTTCAGCTAATAACTGTTTGTCGTTAAGTCTGAAAATATCCTAAACGTATGAAGGTATGAGCGCGAAGTATTTTGAATGCTATAGCATCGCATCCACATAGTTTTGTAAAGCATGCGTAAGTGTAATTATCTCCATAAAAGAACCGAAAAATGAATTAGTCTAGTAGTTAACATGTCTGTCTGTTAATGAGATTGGCTAAGATCAATACCTGAAACCGTTTCCGGTCTTGGCGGACATTATTATTATTTTACAAGATTTAAAGTTGTTTAAATATTATATCCACCTTCACTTGTATACGCATTTAATACCAACCTTAGAATCTCAACCCGACCAAACTATCGGGCCGATTAAAAATCTGTAGTCTGTATAGAGTTAAGTAAAGATACCAACAGAAATCCAAAATCCATGCTTAAAAATATTAAGATCGAAGATAAATGTAAAATAAAAAATGCATAATTACTAAGCTATAATAAACCAAACCAAAAAAAAAGCAAACTACGGTCTAAGCAAATTAAATAGTGAAATATAAACACAATATATCCATAAACATATATATAACTACATATGTACCCATAAACTAAACAAAATGGCTACTACGTACCTGAACACTATCTTTCTTCTCATATTTAACCCGCAGTCTATTGGCTAGTGGTGGTGTAAAGAGTGCAGGGTCGGGGTGCTGTAAGCCCGCCCTCTGCCAGGGATGTTGCTGTTTCCACGCAAGGGATATTATAGACCCCACAACTAACACCCAAACGAAGCCAATCTGAAAAAAATGTCATTTGTTAAGGAAACATTTCATTGTCATTACACTTTTGCATTATGCACAAAAGCTCTTATGTTTTTAAGTCATATTTTTTATATAAAAAGCTTTCGAATTTACACTTACACATATTAAAAAAAAATCAATTATTTACCGAGCTATTAAAAAAATTAAGTAAAAATAATATTTTACTATATACATATTACATACCGGGCTCGTCCACATGTAAGATATTCTATATAGATAGAAGTAGTCACTGGGCGGTGGAACCACTGGGTTGGTCCCCGTCACATTGAATGGACAGCCGTCAATACTAACAGGTAACTTCACCGGAGAAGGACGGGGACCCCCAAAACTGATCCATAGTGTTGTTGCCATACCAGTGACAAGAGCTATTGAGACACCCTGAAATTTGTCATTTATGTTTCATTATTAAATAAAACTATCTTTTCGGATTATTTCGCGGATTTATTTTGATTTTTGGTTCCCGACGTTTCGAATGCTTTACAGCATCCATGGTCACGGGAGAGACTGAGGTGTTACATGTCTTGAAGGTATAGTTGTTACAGAGAAGGCTGTCTGTACACACCCACAATTAACAAAATGAAAATTGCACCAATTACATCTATCTAATCTTAATATCTAAGAAAGTATTATTTATGTTTCAATTATTATCAAATTGTCTAGATTTAGACATTACGTTTTATGGGCATAAATCTGCATGGGCACCTATTAAATGTGAAAATTGGAAATAGTTTTATAAAATATTTTAAGCGGGTGAAGCGTGTGTAAGGCTCTAGTAATTATCTCAAATATATTGCATAACTGCTTAGTTGTGAGGTGTCGATATCTTGATCTTAATTAACGGCTGCTTATTCTATGCCCTATCAAATAAAAAAATATTATAAAATTAAAAAACCGACTGTACAAAATTGCTAACTAAAAATATGACAACAAGTTCACAAAGGAATATAGTATTATGCAGTCGGAGGGATACCTACGAGTATGTAGGTACATCTCGCGGCGGCAAGGATGAAAAAATTGATACCCACATTGCAGAAAAAGATAATAAAAAAATCACCTTAAACAATGAAATCTAGCAGCACCCATATTTTTTTATGTGACCTATCTAAGAATTCTTGGACTAATGAGACGAATCTATAGATACCTTAATTAAAGAAATCGATAGAAAATATGTATGAGGAAATAAAGAATATTACAGATAATAGGCGATATAGGGATAGGCGCGAAAAACATAACCCTTTCCTTGCAGTCGGGTAAAAAAGATAAAGTTACCACATTTCACAATATAAAATTTAAAAAATAGTAACGGTAATTCGTTCTTATTATATAGTAAGAGTATTATATATTAAGGTTTTTACTCATTTTTCATGTATTAATTTAATAAGATAAATTTCCGTTCATTAACCATAATAGATTAAATAAATCCCGTTTATTAATTATAATAAATTATTATTATAATTAAAAACCTATAGTTTGTTTATTAAAAAAATACTTACCCTCTCATTAGCATAAGTTGTAAACATTCCCAATGTAAACAGACCAAGCAGCGGCCCTCCGACCGCGCCGAATATCGTCAGAGCGGCTTGCAACACTCCGCCCAAATGTTCCGCGACGAACGCTAAAGCCAGAAACACTAGCCCATACCCACACGCTGCTAATTTTGTCAACCATGGCACATATGTTGGATTTATTTTAAACCACCTTCAAAAGAGTGTTTTATAGAATAATTCAGTATTCTTAATGCTATAAATGCTAAAGTACATATTAATTTGTTTTAAAATATATCTGTTTGCACACGCGTCGCTTGAAAAGGCTATATGTATAATTATTATATAATAATTATAAACATAAAATAATATTAATGTCCTCGCGACCGATTTTAACCGCGGCGGCTAATCTCATTGAGACTAGCCAACTGCGCAGGAGATATTATAGTGCAGCGCGTGTGAGCAATAGCGCAGACACAACGTGCACTCTCTGTTCCTGCCACTCTCATACTCTGGTGGGACGACGCGAGACACGACCAGTGAGAGTTAAGTCGCTGGACCGACGGATTTACGTGCTCTCCGTAGCACGGGGATGAATCAACGCCAACTTTACCAACTCCGGACTGTTACTGAGGTTTACTAAACAGAAATACTTAATAACTAAACTCGGCCCGACTCGGTACTCGAACCCAGGACCTCCGGATGTGCAGCAGTACATGCTATATAATAGCAGTTATATAAAAATTATTAAGGATTTGAAAGTACATAAGTTATACTAACAATTATACTGATTATTTTGCTAAGTTGACTTATATTTAAGTTGCATTATATTTGATTCCCCACGCGTTTATCTACATAATATATATTATATAGTCTACGTATACATATGTACATAGATGCATCGGTGCTTGGGCCATGAGTTATATCCTTACTCGGCTAATTAAAATGATACTTAAGTACATAGGTATGTATATGATGATAATGCACTCACTCATAAACTAGCTAATTAAGAAATACCTATAACTTAAGTACCTACTAACGTAGTCGGTAAGAGTGACAGCTGCTAACGCATTGCATGCTGCCGATATTGTAGACAGAGATGCACTGAATATACCCGCCACGAACAACCCTGCCAATCCTGGTACTGACTTCATTACATCTACCACATAGTATGGCATTAATTGATCCATCTGTAAAAAATATGAGAAAAGTACAATAAATATAGGTGTATTTGTTAGTATGTACGCTCTCGACTCTATTTTCGATAGGAAAGTATTTTCTTCAAAAATCTAATGATGTAGTTTAGTTATGTAAGCGTATGAAAACGTATATATAAATAAATAAATAAATATGTTGGGACATTACCACACAGCACCATCTAGTTCCATGGTAAGCTAAGAGGCTTGTGTTATGGATACCAGATAGTTGATACACTACACATATATAACTTTAAATATATAAATATAAACACCCATGACTGGAGTACAAACATTCGTGCTCATCACACAAATGAATTCGGACGGGATTCGAACCCGCGACCGCTGGCACAGCAAGTAGGGTCACTACAAACTGAGCCAAACGTGTCATGAAATGTTTTCATACACTTACATATCTTAACTTTAAGAGAAACATCAAAACAATGTACTAGAAGATTATAGGTTCTAAAAAACCTACAGAAAAAATCTGAATAACATATTGTATGTGTCTTCTGAGGTACATTCATAATAACTTTTTTTATCTAATTAAAACGTACAAACGTACGTTCTATACGTAGATGATGCACCTATGGGACGAACCCGAGCGAAGCAAGAATTAAGTCACGTGTATAATGTAAATTTAAAAAAAAACGGAAAATATTTGTATTTTTCCTTTTTATTTTAAAAGATGACGTTAATTCTTTAAATATCAACTGTGGTAATCATAATTATTCATAATATGTAATGCTTTTTAATGGGACGTGTTTAAATATGTGTCTGCCTTTTTTACTACATTAACTAATAAAACCAAATACATAGGTATTCATGTTTAATTTAAATATAATGCAATTTATAAGCTCCGATAAGTACAAACCGCGCCATTTACCCAAAAAACATAAAACCATCGTGATATCCCAACTATCTTTTCATGGATGTTAAATATTCTTAACCATAAAGTCATTATGCCCATAAAAGGAGGTATTATACCCATAAATCTTCTATAAAAGAACGTATCTCTACATGATAATAAAAACCGCATTCAAATATGTATATTGCATACTTTAAGAGAACTAAAACAGACAGACGGAGATAGCGACTGTATTTAAACTGTTTAGAGATGATTATCTGATATTGTATACATTTAAATACATATTGTATTTAAGTTGTTATAATCCCGCATGACTGTCCTTGTCAATGATAAGGGACTGTGATAAGACGTTATGATACATCTCTTGGTTACCGTATCCATTACGAAACATCAATACAATATTTATAATAAAAACATTTCCACTTACTGAAGAGATTTCTTTGCTAGCTAGTGGATCACAGTCCTTATATACAGCGTATATACTTAAACCGCTGATACAAGTAATAATACTCAGGGCACTTAGTACAGGCCAACTCCACCATAGACACTTTTGTGAACGCCCCAAGGTGCTCACTGTTAGCAGACGTTGGACCTGTTTAGTAAAAAAAGTAAATTTAAGTATTATTTGTATTAAAAAAAAAATGTTCGTTCGTATACTTACATCATCTTTATATACATTTATTAGATTCGTACATAATAATAGTCATTTTTTAAATATCTTAATATTTCTATATTTTTACATTTACAAATTCAAAGTTCTTACACATAAAGTGAAATAAATAATCATTACGTTCGCTATTATAATATTTTTGATAAAATAAGCTAAGAAAAAGTAAATATATATTAACTTAACACACGTAGACGTGTAATAAAACTTTATAAAGTTATTACAGTCGTGGTTGCCGAAATTTTGCTCTAAAAACGAGTTATATGTCAACCCCGAAATAATAAACAATCCATAACTATACTATTAATTATATATTGTACTAACTTTAAAATTTTATATAAGTCCCTTATTATTATAAGGTTTCATAAATAAGCCGTCTATTAACCACATTTATAGTAAAAGTCACAAAATGAAGTTGTATTCCATAAATCCCAAAAACTTTTATCCTATAGTTATTTAAAAAAGAATTAATAATGACTATAATTTGGTAGGCAGTCCGTACTAGTTTATTTTAATAATAATTATGTATAGAAAATTTCTTTTGATTAAATAACAGGCGGATATAGTAGCGCAGTGGGTTCTTAGACTAGTTTGATTATAATTATTATGTTTAATTAAATAAGAATTTATTACATTTAAAATATTATTATATACCATTGCTAGTTTAAAATATAAAATAAAAACATTAAATACTCAAAGGACTTGCTAGTGATCACTCATATTCTATACATATAATAAAATTCAAACCGAGTCGAATCTGTACATTCAATGTTTTTTGGAAAATCTTATTGAAATAGACTAGATTTATAAATAAAACTAATAGATAGAATTTATAGTTTTTAGATTTTTTGTCTCTCTGTCTGTTACCGCATCACGGAAAAAGCACTGGAGGGATTTTGATGAAATTTGGTATAATGATAGCTGGTTATCCGGGTCAACATATAGGACACTTTTCACCGCGGGAAAATGTCTCATTTCTGAGAAAAAATACAAAAACTGCAACGTAAGTGTACACTAACTATGTAAAACCATAGAATTTTATTTTTGGGCATCTGAACGCGGGCGGAGCCGCGGGCAATGCTAGTTTAAAAATATTATTAATAAAAAGTAATTACGTCATTAAGTACATATATATTATTATCATACTACACGAGCAAACGACAATAAAAGGCTTAGATGTGTAGATGTTTCAATTTAATATGCCATTTTAACTGCATTTCAAATTTATAACAAACTAGCAGAACACGCGGCTTCGCTCGCGCTAAAACTACAAAAAAAACTCTAAAAAGGTGGGCTTCATACAAACTTTCATCCTCTATTTTATCCCGTTATAGGGTGACTTTTGAAAAATGCTGAAACACGTATTTATTTAATTGTATTAAAGAGCATTAATGCCAAGTTTCAAGTAATTCTGATTATAAATATATTTTTGAATTGTATTATAACGTGTTTTCCCGTGGAAATTAGATAACCTCCCGCGGTAAAAAGTAACCTATGGTGTGATTTTTTACGACATAGGCTACTTTTTACCGCGGGAGGTACTCCGTTTTGACGTGAAAGAAAGACAGACAAACACACTTTCACATTTATAATATTAGTGTAGATTTAACCCATACCACATTGCTTAAGGCCGCCATATACTATAGTAGATCATGCATAAAATATAATTTACCTGTGTATGGTTTACAGCATACAAGGAAAGGTAGGTAATGCAGCCGCCGATCAACAAAGACCACCACGTATGTCTCTCAGTTGGATCAATACTGAAACTAAATTATAAAATACATTAAAAGTAAACTATAGCAACAATTCAAATTTATTATGAAAAATGTATCAATACTCACTTTGAAAAATATAAACGACCACCTTCTTGTGCTTTTATGAAAATTTGCCCGAATCCCCCGAGCTGCACTGAGGCAAATATTACTACACTCAACACAGCCATGAACATCAAAAGAGATTGCAAAAGGTCGGTGAAAAGGACTGCTTTCATTCCGCCCAAAGTTGAATAGAATGTGCACGCTAATCCTACCACTAGGATAGATACCAGTCTATCTAACCCTGTCACCGATTCCAGAACTATTGCTGGGGCATATAAAACTATTCCATTGTACAAAATCATTTGTAAAGTATATGTTAGGGATGCTAGCATTCTTATATGCGGGCCAAATCTTAGCTCTAAGTATTCATAAGTACTGGTCTTTTGAAGCCCGAAGAATACTGGTAAATATAATCTGGAAGCTATAGGTGTTGCAATGCCGTAAGAAAAATTGATGACTACGAAATGCATGCTGTAATAATAATTTTCTGCGGAAACTCCCAAAAGTGTTATGGCGGACATGAAGGAGGCCATTAAGGACACTGCCACTGGGAATATTGACATGTTGCGATCAGCCATCAGATATTCCTGTTAAGAAGATTAAATTATCGATTACTGTTGTCGATGTCAGAAAATCAATGTGTGAAATAAAATTTACCTCATTCGTTTTTTGCCTTCCACCACTAAATCTAAAATATAAGCCTATAGCTATTGAAGCTATCATGGTGGCCGCCATAATTATGTAATCCCATGACCCAAAAATTGATTGTTCCATGTTTGACTGTAAATAGTTAAAATACTTTAATAATATGTTTATGATTTAATAAATGGACAGCCTTTTAAAATATTAGATAATTCTATTATCAGAGATTTGTTAAACATATAAGTTGATTGTTGAACACCATTATGTTATAGGTACTACGGACAAAAAAACCTAATCTGTAAAATTTTAATAATAATTATATACTGAATTTGCTAAACTTCGAAATAAAATTAATAAAATCAAATTCTTAATCGAAAACGTCTCTAATGACAGAAAGATTAATTACATTCGCTTAAATTGTTAAAAAAAATATTACGTGGAAAACAAACGAATAGCTTCCCAGTATTGTTAGCTGGTTCCGAATACGGCGAATTTATACACCTGTCTCACCATATAATTTACCAACAACTTCTTTATACCTGTATCTTAAAAGATAAAACATTTATTTTAGTACTTAACTCAACATTACTATATAGATGTTCGATATGATACTTTCTTAGATTTAGGCGAATATTTGACATTTTAATAAAACTGTTTTCTTTTTAATTATTATATTTATTATTAAGCCACGCTAGCCAAGTGCGGGTTGGCGGACTTCACATGTCTTTCGAAAACTTGCTAGATTCTCTCAGACATGCAGGTTTCCTCATGATGTTTTCCTTCACCGTAAGGCAAGAGGTAATCATATTATACGAATTGATTCGCACATGAAAATATTAGAAATGCGAGATCTGGTATTTGAACCCGCTTCACTCGATTTCCCAAGCGAGCGCGTCACCATTGGGCTACCACTGCGTTAGTACATATTAGGCTACTACGAGTATATTCATAAGAATATCATTATTTCAATTCAACGATAAGAAACACTGCTTAAAACAGGTTTTTTTAATGGAAAAAGTAATTAATTGCCTATCAAACGTGAGAAAACATGAAACGCAGAATGCACGTGCATTAATTTTACACAGTACCTACAGTGTACTGTACCAAGTAGATTTTAAAATAGTTCTGTTATTTATACCTACACATAATTATTAATTACGTATAAATTAATAAATAAGTTTTAATACATTTTCTTTTTGAAGCCATGGTTATGAGAGTTTGAACTTATTTTACTTATTTTATAATATAATTAGGTAGACCAACAATTTTCTTATTCAGCTTCTTCATTTTGATAAGTTATTAATATAGCAAGAAAACTTATTAATATAGAAATTTTATTTCGTGATCTTACTAACATAACGATTAAGTATATGTTTTTGGTATACGTAAACGTCAAAACATTACCAGTCTTATCAGTCTTAATATATTATTAAACTACATCTTGCAAAACGTATTTGATGTCAGATACAGTATGCAATTTATCAGAAACTCTAATCATACTTACGATATATTAAAAGCACAACGCACGATTCATACAACAACGCCAATTGAATCAATCATAATAATTACTAAAGATATCTATTGAGATGTCTACTGAATAAAAAGGTTCTTTAGAAAGTTTTCTAAAATAATTAAGTATTAAATATATGCGAGTCTAACTTACACGTTATATTATATGTAGTCATTTTTTTAAACAATTAATTATATTTGTTAGAAATTTTTTAAGAAAATATTGAAACCAAAATTATTTTTACGACTGGCAAACTAGAAAATTTTGTAAACAATAAAAATATTAAAAAAAACTATTTACTCTCTCTCTCTCAAACTAATTTTTGTCAAAAATATAATATAATAATATAAGTTCTGTCAATTTTTTTTTCACAATTTCTAAATTGGATTTTTATATAACAATTTTAATAGTTATGCAAATTCGTTAATACGTCTTGTTAGTAAAATAAAATCCAATTGGCATACTTCGGTATATAAACGGACACTCTATTGAGATGGACAAACGTGATATGATAAAATTCTAGGGTTACCTTTCTTTAAAGAATCTTAATATGTATATGGCATATACGAGTCGGCTTGTCATGTCTACCGTACCAGTACACAATATATGTATTCCTGTTATCTGTTTAGTTTTCAATAAATGACAACACTAATCCCAACGGGCACACATACGAAAATAAGGTTGAAGAGATACAAAAAAAATTGAATTGATTTCATCGGAGTCGTGGTTAACACCCCCAAAAAAAACTCACTTCTGTTAATTTTTTTTTGATAATTTTACTAAAACCAATAATCTAAACTGTCTGTTTAGATTGTTGTTGTTATGGATTCCAGTTAGTTAATACTACACATATAATTTTAAATAAATACATATTACAAATATAAACACCCATGACTGGAGTACAATCATTCGTGCTCATCACACAAATGAATGACTCGAACACGCGACCGCTGGCACAGCAAGTAGGGTCACTACAAACTAAGCCAAACGTGTCGTAATGTCATAATAATGTATAGAAATGCAGTATTTGTAACTTTAAGTCTCACTAATTTTTGACTCTTTCGTTTCTTCAAAACACATTTTATATATTTGGACTCACTATCGCTTGCCCTATTCAAAAATACCACCCACTCCTCCAGGGGTCCTATATACTAAACTGCAGCCGGAAAATTTTATTAAATTTACATTATTATCGATATAGAGACCGAATCTATAGCTTTTAGAATTTTTGTTTGTCTGTCTGTCTGTGACCGCATCACAGAAAAACTATAGGAGGGATTTTGATGAAATTTGGTATGGTGGTAGCTGGTTATCCGGGTCAATAGGTATTTTCTACCGCAGAAAAATGTCTCATTTCTGAGAAAAATTACACAAACTGGTTAGAATAAAACCACGATGATACTATAAACATTTTAGCAAGGTAACTTACTAAATATGGTAAAAACTATTAAATAGCCTATCTAGAAAAAAATATATCAATAGCACTATTTTATTCATTAAAAGACATTCGTCAATAGATGTCGTAGTTTTAGATAGCTATGACCTTTCTATGATTTTATTAAATTACCCGCGGCCCCGCCCGTTTTAAAATTACATATCAATAAAACACACTTTTTGGTTTTAAAAATTAATAAAATATCAGTAAAATTTTGTTGGCCGAAACAATTTTCAAAAAAAATATTTATATTTTTTTATTGTTAAGTAAACAATGTTTATGTTTGTAAATTTTTTAACTCAAGTCCCGTTCCGTATAGCAAAATACTGTGTTGTTTTTCTTACTACGTATTTTATTACGTTAACACTAAAATAAGTATGAATAATATTTACGTTTCCACATTATTGACTCATTTTATCAACCGAAAAATAAGTTAATTTCATTTTTTTAACATTTTATGGAACACAAGTTTATGGTCGTTAAGACAAAGCGGGTAACTAAAAATATTTCATATCTCAAAAACTATGAAACCTATACTCTGCAAGATAATTTTCGATTAAAATATTTTAGAAACTGTTTATACTTACCTCAACTTTTTCAGATTTTTTGACACCATATTTTGTTGAAAGATAGAAGGTTTAAAGGACGCAATAATATGTTTACGACTTTAATCATATTTTCCCCAACACTTTCTTTTGAAAATCATTTCGGAAAATATGACTAACTAGCGATTCACCCTCGTTCCACTCGGGTTTGTCCCTAGGTGATTCTTTAAATTGACGTAACTTTTTTATTTATGAACCGATTGAAATAAAACAAATACTAATTGTTAAGTGAAGCTTACCACAATATATAAGTGAAAATTGCATCCAAATCGTTTAAGCCGTTTCTGAGATTAGCGCGCACAAACGCACAGATAAACAGACAAACTGACCAACAAACAAACAGACAAAAATTCTAAAAATCATTGTTGTGGGTTTTATTGCGTAAATAAAGACTCCCCAATGATAATTTTTCTCAAATATCTTCCATGTACAGAGAGCGATCAGTTACACTTTTATTATATGTATAGATTATATGTATAGATATAGACTAGCGTTAACCCATCCCTGTTTCGCGACAGATTAACATAAAGAAAAGTTATTATTATGTAATTTAAATAATCAGCTAAATATAAATTAATTAATTGCTTTCTGTTAGTAAAAAAATATATTAAGTAAGTAATTTGAGTGAGAGAAATTAAGCATCCCTCCACGACCGTGGAAACGCCGGCGTTACAGTTAACAATAGATTTCTTAGTTTAATTAATTTCTCAGAAATTTACCTGGAGGTGTTAAGTAGTTTGAGAGTTTATCGCCCGAAACAAAACAAACAAACAAACCAACAAAAAAACAAACAAACAAACAAACAAAACAAAACAGAAATATAGACATACTATAAATGTTATTGTTAAAACAAAAAGTACAATATTACTAAACCAAATATGAGATTAACGAAGGAATCTTTGAGGTATTGTCAATTACTGCCATTATTTACCAATCATGCGGTGCGTAATAAATTGGTTTAATATATGTAAGAGTATACTAATATGTAAAACCTAAGAATTTGGTTTCTGGTCATCTGAAAGCGGGTGAAGCCGCGAGCAGTGCTAGTCTATAATAATAATATTCAAAACGACTGATTTTATGAAAGCAAAAATATGACAGTCAATGGAACAAGCCACTCCAAAACTTAAGAAACTAGAAAAAAACTGCCCCATAATATACTTATTGGTAACATATTATTTTTTTTAATTTTACTACTATGCTTAAACTATTATATAATTTAAATAAGGAAAACATGTCGATTGCACTCATAAGGAAAATATTAGTTCTTAGTAATATATAAGAACATTGTAGATAGTTAATCAATAAATATACACAATATTTCGTTTGTATTGAATGGTTCCGATTGAAAAAAGTAAATTGAGGCCTTAGAAAATATGAATTAGACTCACTACATTTTTTCTGTAAACTGTCTTTTTTTTCTAACGTAAAAAAATATATTTCTATACCTCTAAGAGGACTCTATTATTCTAAACATTTTAAATAAAATTAGTGCCAAAACTGAGAAGATAAAACATTAGTGCAGATACCACTTCATTATATGCTGCACTCAATTTTCCTGTCTGTCAAACGAAGGAGCAGA